GAGGTTTGCAGACTTCCGTGGGTGAGATACTGGTCATAGCTTATTTATGGTTTCCTGGGCCTGAAAAGGGGGAACTTAGGTCTGGACCTCTCACCCACACAAGATGGCGGGAAAAATACCCTCAGAATCAGCAGATGTATTATTAAATATAAGTCCCAAATAATTGGTTCAGGCTGAGTTGAGTAATCAGGACACAGGTTGCGATAGCTAACCACAAAGACCCATGGCAACGAATTGATGTATATGATAATAAGTTAAGAGAAATGATATATTGACCAATAAGAAAAGAACACTTCAGCACTAGAAACACCCCCTATTGAATATGCATAAAACCTGTTATTGTCAATGTCACTTGGTATAAAAGTGAGACCACAACCAAGGGTTCATAGGGAGGAGAAGATATAGTCTTTGGAAGGGCCAGAATGACGGTCGCTGGTGATGATGGGGAAGGTGAAGGTAATGAGAAAGATGATGGGCTAACACCTAAGATTGTTCTAGAAGGAATGATGTCAGTCTATGGTAAGGAAATATGGATGTACATTCCCTGTACAGGCAGTCCCTGAGTTACGCGGATCCGACTTATGTCGGATCCGCAGTTACGAACGGGGCTTTTCTCGCCCCGGAGGACTGGAGCTGCGGGACGCCCAGATGCGCTGCAGTCCCGCCGCCCCCGTCCTCCGGGGCGAGAAAAGCTGCTCCACATCTCCCTGGTCTGCTGGGGGGGAAGCGCCCCCCACGCCGCCAGAGGCAGCGACAGTGGGGGAAGCACCCCGCACTAGCTGTGCCCCCTCCCCCCATTTGTAACTAGGGATACGACGTAAGTCGGATTGATGTAACCCGGGGACTGCCTGTAGTTCCCCATGCCTTTCCAAGGTGCATTTGGAAATGGGCCAAAGGGCACTTACACTGGGCTGCAGAACCAGGAGTGATTCAGATCTGGATCCAGTTTAATCAGAACCCCCAAAGTTTGCAGGGGTTCAGGTAAAGGAATGATGCCAATTTGGGGCCATGTCTGTATAAATCTGGCCCAGTGTCCCTCTGCCACGCAGCATCATTTCTGCTTTCCAATGGCCCCAATCCACTTCTATTTCATTCTGCCAGATGCTGACCCCAGGGGCAGAATAGGGGAACTAAACCCCTGCATGCTGATCCAGGCTGCAAATCTGAGCAGTTTGCAGGTAACTGTGGCTTTGTACGGCCACAATTCCACAGCTGATCTTTGTTTTCCCTCCTGCGTGCTGTGCTCACCAAACCTCAGAAGGCAGCCCTCCAGTTTCAAACAACTCCTGTTTCAGTTAAATAGGGTCCACTGGCCACAAGTGCTCCAAGGAGGTTCATAGCAGGGAGGAGCCAGGGATCTGTTAGTACACAATGAACATGTGTACAAATACTGGACCTTTAGTGCCAATATCACCAACATACCCCTTTTTTTCTCCACTCAAGCTCATCTGAAGAAGTGGGTTGTGCCCACGAAAGCTCATGATACTATCTATATCAGGGCTACTCAACACATGGCCCATGGGCTGCATACGACTCGTGGCCCGTTTGTTTGCAGCCTGCAGTGCGGTTTGGGTTTACACAGGGCTCAACACATGGCCTGTGGGTGGAAGCCAAAACAAAACAGTAGTCAATATAATGGTCTTCTGTTGCTATGCGTTTTGGTAGTTAAATTCCTGGAGTGTCATTGCTCATTAACAGTGCTGTCAGTGTTTGTAACTGTACTAACCATATTAATAAACTGTAAATATTGTAAATATACAAGAGTTTCCTTATTATGAGTGTTTTAACTGTGCACATCAGGGTTTCCCAATCATAGTATAATTGAATACTGGGCCTGATCCTGGGACAAAGAACCAGTCAACCCTAAAGGTGGGTAATTATTATTTAAACATAATCTTATATCAGGCTACATACAGTGTGTAAGAAGTGTGATGTAAACCAGGAGCATGAGTTTTGAGTAAAATATAATTATTATTGTGACACTAGAGGCCCTACCTGGGATTGGGGTATGTGTGAAGATGGTACCTACTCTAGAGAGCATTCAGTCTAAATGTAAGAGGACTGACGCAACAAGTAGAGAAAAACCAAAGGAAGCTGGAGGATGGGGAATGGAAAAGCTACCATATTTGGCAATGCACTTATTTACACACTTTAACAGGCAGCGTTAGCTTCCACTGTTTCCCATATTGTAGCTGAACAACCTTTTCCACTTGTTTTCATTCAGATTTGTTTATTCAGATTAATTTATAAATGCACCTTAATTATTGAATAGCCATATAGGGATATCCACAGAGATGTATTTTATCCCTGTAGCCTCCTAGAATTCTCATGGTTCATATTAACCACTCCCTTCTCAGAGTTTATTCAGGTGTGATTAAATTGAACCAATACTAGGTGTTAAACAGTATTTGTACAGGAGATGTCTAACCTGTACCATAATAAAGGCACCAAGAAAGTAGTACTATAACATTATATATCCACTGTCTTGGAATGTAAACAACAAATCAACAATTTTCATTTGACACATATAGCTCATTCTACAATGGTCTGTAAGTTTAGAGAATGAAGAGAGATGCCTCTTTTGGGATTCTGGCTTGCAAAGCAGGTGACAGAAAACGTGTGCATGGACTGTTTAAGAGGCACTCAGGAAGCAGCAACTGCACAATTTACATACCCTTTTAAAGTAAAATGACTACAAATAGAACAGGTTTGTATCACAGAGCAAGAGGCCTGATTCTGAGAGGTACTGAGTATCTGCAACTCCCATTGAAACTAGTATCTCCCAGACTGTAGCCTGTCTAACCATAGATAATAATCTTAATCTGCAGAGGAACCTTTCTTATTTTAAAAGTATATTTAGTATCTAACTGAATATTTAAACCAAATGCAGCACCCTATGTTTCCATCAGTGGGTTCCTTGCCCATACTCTGGAATGAGTGTAAAATGAGACTCTACCACTAATGTAAGGCTGGATCCTTCATTGTGTTAATCATCTTCAACTGCCGTTAAAGCCACAGAACTGATACCTCAGCCCCTTGAACTGTGCACTAATTTAGATGACACTATGCAGTCTCACAGAGTGAAACAAACGCTGTAAGTGTAAACCATACATTATTGCCTACCCTAGAAGCCCATCTTCATTAAGATTACCTTTGTTTCAAAGCTGAAATTGAGAAATAGCGCCACCTGCCGGATTTTTTTTCTGAAAATGTTTTCCCTTGTAACAACAAAGGCTGTCTTCTCTACTGTTGTGTTTGTTGTTGGGGTTTTCTCCTCTGCCTGAGTCAAAATAGCCTGCTGCACCTTTTAAGCCTTTTTCAATCACTTTGATTCAACTTACATTTATTTTACATTTGTTTTTAATTATAAAATAACGTTCCTGACTAATCTGGGGCTCACATATTTTCTTTGTCACCTAGATAAACCTTTGTTCCCTAATCTGGTTTCGACAAAGCCTCTGCCAGGTTAGAAGGTCTGGACTATTTGCTGGGGGCACAGAAGCTGCTAGCACATAAATACTCCCCTTGTTGATGAAGGCGGGTGTCTTCGATAAATGTAATAACGGCAGGGTGTGATCTTTTGCATGAAACTGCAGGGTGTATTGTGTTATTGAACCACCCTTTTTAGGCGAAGAGTGTAAAACGATCTCTAAGGCAGAAGAGCATTTTAAGATTTGACCGAAGTCCCATATCTGTCCGCCTTGACAAAGAACGGATTTCAAACACAAAGCCTTCTGTCTGCCGGGAAACAGGCTCTGTGCTGTTTCCACGGGAGCTCTGTCCAGGTAAATGTGCCCAGGTTTTGGGGATTCGAAAAAGAGGCGAAGGGAGAGAAGAGAGACTTTTTTTTCCTGGTTTACATTGACTTCAAGGCTTTGCGTGCCATTCTGCGAGAGAGAGCTCGGCGTGTGCCACCGGTACCCTTCCCTCTCCCCTCCCCCCACACCTCCGACACTAGGAGCAACGTGAAATAACTATGGTGGTCCTGACGGATCCTTGCCTTCTGGCTTTGCCCCCAAGAGTTAGTTCGAATGATTTGAGTGGGTCATAAAGCTGAAGCAAAAAAATCTTGCAGGCAGTTTGCATGTATGTACAAACCCTCTGAGGGAGAGGAGAGGCGTGAGGTAGAATCGTCGCCTGCCCTTCAATGAGCTAATTCACAGCAGGCAGCGGCATGGAACTTCCTTGCCCTGACGGGCTTGCTGTCCGAGGTGCTGAAACCAGCGCTGGTTTGTGACTGCCCAGTGAACGTGTAGGGGTGAACGCAATTTTCTTGTTATATACAGCCTATGAGCCTAGGCAAGAGTGCTCTGCCCTTATTCTCGCATTGTCTTTTCGGCTGGAAAACGTGAGTCCTGCTAAACGTGGATCTAAAAATGCCAGATCTGGTCCGCTTGCCTTGCAATTCTAACCCGCACTTTTCAGAACTAGCCCGCAGGAAGTTCATGCCATTTAATGATTTATTGTTTCAGGCGATGAAACAACTCTATCTTCAGCTTGCCACTGAACGCACTTTCCTTTCTAATAGTTTGACTTCTGACCACTTGCGCTTTTGAGTTCTTCTTGAGACGAGATGTATACATTTTTTTATATTACTCTAAGACACAGCTGGAAAAGTTTTAAGACATAGAAGAGCAAACGCACCTATTTCTATATTTTCTATTAATTTCTTATAAGCAAATGTATTTACAATTAAATAGACAATTATCTATAATTACATTATTCTGTCTCATTCTATGTAATGAGTAAAAGTTCTGGCTCATTAATTGAAACATCCTGTTAATATTTCCAAGAATAGATGGGGAACATCCGTGTCGGCTGGAGCTGTTAGATCCTTTAAAACTGGATTTAAAAGATTTGTGTGTGTGTGTGTTCCAAATATTTTCGTTCTGTCTCCATCTCCAAGGCAGAGCGTCTGCACGGGTGAGCGATCATTCTGGGCATTTAGTGCTGCCGTTCAGTATTTTTGCTCTCCACATCGGAGATTTTACTATTGTTTTTCCTTCTTCCACTACCAAGCCCTTCGGAAAAGGATACATACACATCTGAACCTTTCATGCTGCTAACGTTTGTCTGGAGAACACTCCTTTTTACATCCATAAGACTTTTTTTCAAGTAGTTGCACATTCCTACAAATCATGTACTAGTCTTCGTTAAATACAGTCTTATTTAGTCATATGTCTAGTTACTTTAACCCTTTGAGACCTAACAATACAATCCTCACTGGAAATTGCTAGCAAAACATCTTTAAATGTAATGATATTCTTGGAGTTGAGGATACAAACAAAAAGGCTTTCTGGATGTATCTATTTTTAGCAAAAGAATGTCTGTGGTAAGTCCTGAATCTAATGAAACCATTTAAACTAAATCATAAAAAACAGGTGTTCCTTGTAGCTATGGTAAAGACCAAAAGATTCATCTGTCTGGATCTTTGACGCCCTCTGGTGGAGACTCACAAAAATAATTACTCATGGCTGGGGGGGCGGTGGTTCGTAAAGAATGAATGAGGTATAAAATTCTGATCATAGTGAAAAGACGGGGGTATTTTTGCTAAGCCTCATTTAACAAAGACACTGATTGAAATTATTCCTGCGATCGCATGTTATACATGGCAGTACAGTGGGATGTGAGTTAGAACAAAAGAGACTGAAAGGAAGCAAAAGTTGAAGATAAATATCTTTCTATGAAAGAGATTTTTAAAATCGTCTGTTGGCAGCCACGACTGCTTCGTTTTTACATACAGAACGTTTCTACTGTGTTTGAAATAATGCTCTGGGGCTCAGTATAAAATAGGCAACTTAAAAGATCTACATCGCCGAGCGGAAGTGTCTTTCCTACTAGCCCGTTAGCCCCCTCTGAAAAGGGAGCGTGTTGGGTGCGCACTGTATTACTCAGAGGTTCAGTCTTTCTGGATGCATCTCCGTGATTTGGATTCATAATCGAGCTACAAAGCCCCGAGGCGACCAAAACACCTGCAAAAAAGTCACGTTAGCCGAGGAAGGCAACACTTGGGCGCGTGATTTCCAACCCAGCAAACTGACCTGGTTGATCCACTCTTCCCCCGCCCCCCGTCTGCCTGCTTGCCTTCCATATTGGAGCAGAGGAGGTGGTGGCAGCGGTGTGACTCATGCCTGCGTCTGAACAGATCAACCGGCGATTCACTCTTTAAAAAAAAAAAGCAAATCCAAGCACTTGTGGGGAAAGGTCATCTCGAATTAAATTCCGAGGCGCGGCTGGTTTTCCGACGTCGTTTCTCGCGGAGTTTATAAGCGGCGACTCCTTCCAAGGTTAGAATTCCCCTGGCGTTTTGGACACTTGGAGTAAGTGTGGGCTCGCTCTCCTCCGCGGTAAGTCTGTTTTAAACTCCACTCGCTAGATTATCTTATTTCAGTCTCCAGGAGGCTCTTTGTTTTCCTGTGGCTGTCCTGCCCAGAGAGCAATAATGGGCATTTTGAGACAGCAGGTGCAGTAGACTGTTGGGCTAACCTGTTACTTCACTTCCAGGCATTGTCTAGCGAGTCCCGCTGCTTTAGAATTTCTAGCTATATCTTGGTATTTTTGGTTTGGGTTTATTTGAAGTATGTGCCCGCTTACCATTGAAATCACTGGTTTTCCTGTGGCTGTCCTGCCCAGAGAGCAATAATGGGCATTTTGAGACAGCAGGTGCAGTAGACTGTTGGGCTAACCTGTTACTTCACTTCCAGGCATTGTCTAGCGAGTCCCGCTGCTTTAGAATTTCTAGCTATATCTTGGTATTTTTGGTTTGGGTTTATTTGAAGTATGTGCCCGCTTACCATTGAAATCACTGGCTCGTGTGTAAACGCTGGTTTTAATCCACGCAGTGAAAATGAAGAACGAGTATTATTGGGTATTGGAGGGAAGGGGGGCGAGGGAGGCTTTTTAATTTACTGCGACCTTGATTTTCTTTCTTGTTTTTCTGGATAAAATAAATCGGACCCAAATATGGGTCGGGGACAATGCGAGGCATTGATCCGTCGGTTCTAGATCAGTGAACCCAAATTGGTTGTTGGATGCAATGTCCACCTGCGAAAAACTTAACGGCTGGCTGAGAGCAAGGCTGTCCATAAGATATTATTATAGACACTTTATTCAGCTACGTATCCCCTTATAGCAAGTTTAAAATTAAGCCAGATCTTAAATACGAATGTCATGGTTCAGCCATGTGTACGTTTGAGCGTGCATCTATAAACATACATGAATACATGCATATTACACACCCACCCGTAGATAGGCAAATATGTGTCTTTGTTACCGGAAGATCTAAATCTTTCAATATCAATCCTGCCTGAATATTTTTATATTTAATCTGATGAATAGTTCAGGGATTCTATGATAAAATACACATTAGCAACAATTCTATGGGGATTGTAGGTCGTTTTGAGTGATAATTGAAAAGCCTGTTTTATAACTTGGTTTCAATTTGACACGAGCCATAATTGCCCTCTTCAGTGGCCATTGATATAATTGCGATAGACTTCACGGTCTGCTAAATCCATCATTCGTACAGGGCGTAGCGTTTCAACATTCAGCAAAGAAACGATTTAACTCCTCAGCCTATCGAAGCATTTTCTAATTGACATGTTTCCCTGTTAGCTGTTTTAAACTAAGTAAATGTCCGCGCCTTCAGTGATCTTGCCTTTTCATCGCTTGCTTTGCGAATATTTTCGCCTGGCCAAGGAACGTCGTGATAAGGACTCTCTGACTGGAGATGCAACCCTTTGTGCAGGCTTTCCCAGACACTGTCACTTCACAAGGAGTTTGATTGCTTATTGTTGGCCGCCGAGTCACACCCTGACTAGTTAATCTATACAGGACTCGCGTTTCATCCTTCCACGAGACCAAATCCTTAAAGCCGCCTTTTGTTTCCTTCCAGTAAATTCTTTACTGTCCATCCACCAGAGGAATATTGGAGGAAAATACGGGATCGAAGGAGTTTGATTTTTGAACTGATGGCATCCTCTGCTCCATCCTCCTCCAACACCGCTCAGGATCCCAACCCAACTAATTTACGACCCACAAGTAGGTTTTGATTTTTCTTCTCGTTTTAAACCTTTTGGATGCTTTATCATTTTAGCATGGCACTTCAGAGAAACCAAATTCGCAACAAAACGACAAAGCTAGAAGTCCTTGCTCCGTACCTTTAAAATAGGTATGGAAATTTATCTATAAAAATAATTAATCTTTCTGGTGTTTTAAAGGCAGAAGCTAGTCCTTAGATTTGTCAAGGATGCCGATAAGCCTTGGCTCCCGTTGTGTTGGTTTTTACAGACACATTTTGGGAGACTTTGAAAAGAAACTCCCCAGATTAATAGAAAATCTAGATTATTTTAAAGGAGTGGAGAGGGCTGAAGTGTGTTCCAGACTTGCATGTTATACTACTAATGCTATAGCTTCCTCGTTGCTTACATGGAAGCCTATAATCAACTGAAATTTGGATGCTAATTGTAGCTTTTCAGAGCCCTGTATCACTAATTGCTCAGAATTTGCCTTGAGTTATTGAGGTATGAGTGGGAAGCAGAGATGGTGCAGGTGGATGGAGAATCGGTTTATAGCTCTGCCTAGACAATTCAGACAATCAGCTGCCAAAGAAAAGAAAGCAGGGGGAAAAGCTCGATGACATAATCACCAGAGACAAAGAGGGGGGAATAATAAGAAATAAAAGCTTGGCAGGCACAGTAACGCGAGGAATAGCTTTTAGCCTGAGAGGGCTGCTTGGGCTATGAGGCATGAACATCAGAGTCATTATTGTGATTATTCTGCAACTGGAAAGAATAGGGGGGAGCCACGAAATGCAAAAGCCTTCTGAAAAACAGTTCGTTGGTGTGAGCCTTGAAGTCGTTGGGGGGGGGTGTCTTTTGCTGAAATGTCAGAACTAAAATCGGATTAATTAGTCTAATGAAGAAATAACCTATTACTTGCCAGCAATACAAAATTCTATTTTCTATGTATATGTTGGATTAGCAAAGAAATGTCAAGGGACGCTATGATAAGGTTTAAACTAAAAAGAACCCATCCAGCGTGGCATTTAACGAAATCCTCCAGCTAACCAAATCCATAGGTTAGAAATAGCCCAAGAGTCCAGAGCTCCCTCATCCTCTCGGGCTCTCCTCCCGCCCAAGCTGATTTCTCACCCGCCTGAGCACTGAGTGGGTAGGGCTGCCATGTTCCCGGAATAAGTGCTCTTCTGCCCCTGGCTCCCTTTGGCCATGATCTTGCTGTCAGGCTCCATCTTATTCTAGCCTTTAGTTGCCTTCGGCTGTTGGAAGTGTCAGAACTCTTTTTTCCAGGCTGTCACTTTCTCCTTTCCTGCCCTTCTGGGTCCTTTTCTGTCCCCTCTAGCCCCCGCCCCTCCCTCCTGGCCAGGCCAGGCTCCTCCCTTCAGCTGAGGTCACCTTTCAGTCCTGAGCCTCCACTCGGGTCCTGCCCAGTCTATTCTCCGCCCCCGCCTCGGCTCAACCTTCCTGCCCCCTGGCTCCTGCCTCCCCGCAGCCCCGGCTAGTCTCTGCCTCTTTTGCCGGAGGGGCTCTCTCCCCGCGCCCCCGCCCCGCCAGCCGGTCCCCAAAGTCCCCTGCCCTCCAGAGACTCCCCCCTTGCTGCCCCTCGCCCCTTTGCCCGGCCTATCCTCCAGCCAGCCCGTGGAGCCCTAGCGCCCCCTCCCGGCAGGAAGCCGCGGGCGCTCAGGCGGGCGCAGAGCAGAGGCGGGAAAGCCCGTCCTGCGTGGGGCCCGGAGGCAGCTGGGCGGGCCGGCTGAGTTGGTGCCCGGCCCCTGGCCACAGAAGGGCGCCGGGACGGGGGGAGGCCCCGTTGCTCTTTCCCCCTCCCCGCTCTGAGCGCTCAGCCCCGGGCCAAGCGTCCTTCCCGCCCTGCGGGCTTGGCGCGCTCCTCGGGGCGGCCCCGCCTCTCTAATCCCCCGTTCCCCAATCCCGGGCTCCCGAGGAGACCTCGGGCTTCGTTCTTGAGCTGCCCGGGCCGTGACTTGGCTCCATCCCCCGGCGCCTGCCGTGTCAGCTGCGGCGGGGCGCCCCCAGCAGGGAAGGATGCCCAGGGCCCAGGCTGCCATCAGCCGCTCCTAGAGCCTCCACAGGCCGTGATGGCGGCAGCCAGGCGGGCTGGGGTCCCGGGCTATGGGCACGTGTTATTCATGCCTCTGCCGCCCTTCCCGGTTACTGCCAGGCGCCAAGTGACCCGCCTCCTGGCGATCACAGCCCCTGGGGCCCATTGCCGCCCAGCCTGCTCTGCGTTAGCCGCCCCAGCCGGCGGGAGAGAAGGAGGCTTTGTTAGGAAAAGACTGGACTCGTGCTTCCCGCCCCCCCATTAATCTCCACCCTCCCTCCAGTCTTTCGCTCACTGCCTGCTTTTGTTTTTTCTCCATCCCCCTCCCTGCCTTGTGTCCGTAGCGGGTTGCTGGCCTGATCTTTTCATTCTGAGCCCCTTGCATTGCTGGGGTCAGAATTCACGTGGACTCCGGTGATACAGCATCGTGTCCTACGAGGAAATAGGTCAGGGCAACTGGGAAGGGCCCGCTTACGTACCAGCTACATATGCGTTGCAGCTGCCTGGCATTGTAAGGGGACCGTACACCTGGTAGCTGTAGGCTGGGCATCCAAACCCCACACACTGACAAACACCAGGCAAAGAGAAATGTGATTGTCAAGATTTGCTTCTTCGGTAGTCTCCGCACTGGTCCATCTCCAGTTCAGCGCTACACCCTGCTGGGATGCTCTGTTTGAAAACAACCCTGGTGGGCTTGAATGAAGGATGCATCTGGAAAGTGGGGAGCAGAGGCCGAGAGAAGACGTGAGGCGCACTAATGTGCTTTCCACTGCCATTCCGGCTGAAGCTTATTCATGCAAGTCCGATCATGTAGTCAAATACTATTTTTCACCCAATTAATTCCTGAACTCTTCCAGGACCCCATTTCATGCCAGTTTATTTTAAGCTGCCATTTTGTTGGAGGCCTGCCAATAAATTATTAGATGTTCAGGTCCCAGATGCCTTTTCTTTCTTTCTGGGCGGGCTGGTGTGACATCTCGATGTTGCTGCTGATTTGAAGACAGAGTCATCTCTGCCCTGGCTGACTCCAGATGCTGGTCAACACAGACCAGGCGCTTACAGACCTTTTTAAAATGATGATCCCTGAAATTCTCTGTACACCTCATAGGACAGTGAAGATGAGTGGTTAAGGAAAAGGAAGAGGAGATAGGCAGGGAGGAAGAAAGGGAGTCTATATTATATCGATTTGGTGGTACTTCGTTGCAATTTAGCAGCAGATGCCTTCCCCCATGGAAGTATCTGGATTTCCGTCCGTTCCCCCCCGCCTCTCAGTGCGTGGGTTCTGTATTATGTGAATCTGTCTTTTGTTCTAGCTTACGACACCTGGTGTGATGTGGCTCATGGATGTACCAGAAAAATTGGTCTCAAAATATGTGGTAAGTGCAAAGACGTTGTCCATAGTTTGCAATGTGCCTTTGTAAACTGTCACCCTTCTTCTGTCTTTGACCCCACACCTGCCTGGGAGTCTCTTGTTGCCAAACACTTTCTCCTCGTTGAAAGCGAGAGGGAAGCTTTAGTTGGCCATCTTGGTTGTATTAAGATAATTGAGCAAAGGGAACAAAATGAGAAGAGATCTGCCTCCCTTACATATACACACACTGAGAGCCTGAACGCTGCAGTCCGAAGCAACCCCCCAGACTCATTAAGACGCCACTCTGTTCTTAATAATTCGTGGGAGGCTGCGTGAGAGCCGCTCTTTGCGGACTCTTTCGCCCTCTGCTGTCAGACGTGAGCAAGGGCAGCGCTGGGCTTGGCACAGCACCGCCCTAACTCGGACTAGACACGATGAAATCCTGGGATATTTGACATGATCCCCTTGTGCTTGAGCCTGCTCCAGGTGAACTCAATCGGAACGCTTCCCAGGAGCTCCGAGCGTCGCTTTAGTTTTTCATCCCGGAGCTTAAAGGCATTTTTTCAGCTCTGAGGTTGGGAGAAAGTGACCGAGTACGAGTGTGGCTGTGGCGGGGAAGAAGGATGGGGGGGTGGTGGTGACGGGTGCCCATTCCAGCACTACTGGATCCGCTACGAATGAAGCGTTGTCTCTAGGCTGCCTCTCCGAGAAGAGCTTTGGGGAGCACTGTAGCTCCCTGTGGTCTCCTGTCTGAGGACACAGCTCCACTGAGCTGGGGAGGGGGCTCCGGGGAGGCGAAAGAACAGGAGCTGGCATAGAACTTGTGGACGCTAAACGAGACTGAGGGAGCGGCTGTGAAAAACGAACAGCGGGGCGGGTTTTGCCACATCTCACTGTCTGAAAATTTTCAACCTTATCAGGCCAGAAAATACGGATCTCCTGGGGGGAAAAGATTAACGAGAGCCTTATTAAACAGCAATTCGTCAGCGCGCTGCGTTTGCGAGATAGTGCTGGCAGCCAGTCAGCGTGCAGGCACATGAAATGAAGGAAGGGAAACAAATATACAATCAGATTGCAACGTTACAGCAAGAGATTCATTTACAGATAACAAGCTGTCTTCGCCTCTCCAGATTTCTTCATAGCGCCTTTCCTTTTGAAGACAGTCTGGTCTTTGTTATCTGATGCCAAACGATCATTCCTTTTACGCAGCATTTCCTCCGTTATTAATAGGAATTATTTTCTCCCCGTTCTCAATTACCTTTTAGTAAGGGGGCCATTTTAGTGCGTGAAATGGGCGGTGAGAGCGTTTTATCAATACAAAGGAGTATTTCAGCTCCTTTCCCCTCCCCTAATCAAAGCTCATTCACTGGATGCTTTGTTACATAGAAGTTTGGATTCAGGAAAATGTAGGTTGCAATATATTTTAGCCCTAGATCTATTAGGAAGTTGCATTGGAACCCAATGGTGCTATTAACGGGGAGCCGCTTAGTTCTATAAATAGCCCCTGATCTGAGTTTAATGGACCGTTCCCCTACCGGTCCCTTCAGTGTCTGGAGCTATGGGCTTTTTCATCATCGTTTTAATTTAGCACGGCAAGCAGAACTGATAAAGTAACGCACCGCTGGGTTTGTTCTGTGTTGCTAGACTACCAGGATTTTGAAGGGACGTCACAGCATCACAACGTAGGTGTTAAATAAAATGAACTGAAAATGAACAATCCCACCATGTTGGATCTGAGGAAGGAAAAGAAGTGTGGGGCGGGATTTAAACAAGACACCACTTGGTTTCTAAGCAAGCAAACAAAGATGGAAAGGACACTATTGCAAGAAGGCTTACTCTAAATTTTAAGTGCTAGTTAATTTATCACTCTTTTCTGCGAAAACGATACAATACATAGTGATGACAATAAAGGGTAATTCATCTAATACTACCATTTATTTTACTCGTATAAGTGCACACACACATAAACTATATAGCTCCTGCACAATAATAAAAAGTTACCTTAGGAAACTAAATAGCGTAAAAATCTTAATGCTGCCAAATACTGTTTTAAATGACAGCTATTTAGAACAATGATATTTGGCTATTTACTTCATTATTCCTCTTCATTTTACACAATATTGTTTCAGACCTTAAATCTCATGGAATTACAGAGTTCTACAGTAAACCCGAGACGAGTCACTTCTGTCTGTGTCGGGCAGAACTGCTTTTTGTTGACAATTATTAATTTTGAACGCAAACTTTTAATAAGATTCATTAGGGTTCAGCTCAGGGCCGGCCCACAACATTTTGGCATCTGAAGCGAGGATCTCAAATGATGCCTCCATTCCCCCTTTTCTCCTGCCTGCCTGTTATGTCTCTTATGCCCTCCTTCCTCCAGCAGAGCACTCCACCATTTCTGTACATCTAGAGCAGAGAGAATACATATGCACCAGCAGCAGACACAATTTTCTACACTCTGGGTCCTAGTCTGGCACCTGAGGGAGCCGCCTCAGTTGCCTCATAGTAAGGCCAGCCCTGGTTCAGCTCAAAGCAAAAGCAAATAGTTGAGCAGTGTCTTGGTCTTTGACAATGTTTTTGTATGTCGGATATTTTATATTTTTACCAACTACTTCTCCAAAATGTATGTGGTATTTCTTCCCGCAAATAGGTCAATCTATCCTCTTATCGAATGAAAAGCCGCAGTCTAAAGGGGAAAATATCTTTGAATAAGCAAATCTATTGAAAAGGATTGGATTAATTTTTATTGATAGTAGTTCGCTGACACTGCTCGGTTTTTTCACTTATGGGTAGAGTCCATGTATAACCCTTTCATGACCCACAAAAAAGTGTCAGCCCCACACAGCTATCATTGCTGAAGGGACGCCATTCTACAAACACTTGATTTTACACCCACTGAAATCACTAGAACCACTCCACTGCGTAAAACTGTTCAGAGGCGCCTTCATCACATCTGCTTTCAGTCAGCTGGTGATGATGCTGCAGAAGTCTTACTGAAAGTCAGTGGGACTTTTCCTCATGACTCCTCTAGGGTTTTTTTTTTTTTGTTGGGTTTTTTTTTTTTTTTTTTTTTTTTTGGAACTAACACCCCTCGGAGGTATTTTTATGACGCATCTAGTACAAGTGTATGAATGGGGGGGATTATGGTGTGGTTAAAACTCAGGGCTAGGAATTGGAACATCTGAATTCTATCCCTCATTCTGAAGTCTATTTGATCTGCAAATGTAATTTCTATAAAGGAAGGTTTTACACGCACAACCCATTCTCCCTTCAGAGTGTAAATGCTAGTGTCTCTTATCCATTTTATTTGTTGTTAAACCCGAGATTCAGGACTCTAGTTCTTTCCCCGCTGGTACATTTTTAGAAAAATAACTTTAAAAATTCTGTCTATGGAAAATAATGAAAATAACTTGCAATTTAATATTTGAAGGACTGTAGCAAGAGTTTTCGTCTTCTCAGATAGGCGACAACTAGCATGGACAGTAATTTATTCTTCGCTGCTTCCACTATCTCTCCAACATAATTCTTAATTTAAATTCATAAGCGGGATACAGCTAATATAACGTTTTGGTCTAGTCATATGTTTACCCCCAGGCATAGAAACAGCCTTCAAGTAAAGCCTTAGCATGGCTACTCTTTTTCTGCATTCCGATGAACTAGTTAGGCATTTATAAATCTTAGAAGTTCTTAAAAAATGCCTAGGAAATAAAAATGGTTGAGAAGATAAAATATTGGGCTATTGCCGGCCAATCAGAAAGCAGTATAGACCATTCTATTATTGGTGCAACTTTTAACCACTTTGGTTCCCTTTCTGTTATGAACTCACGAAGTTCCATTAAAATAACATTGTAGTCGAGGAGAACTTCACAAAGTAAATGAATATATTATAGGTAAAAGGATTTAAAGCAGCAACAACCCCTAAATTAAGTCCTGGGGTATCTATGCTCTCAAACCAGCCTTGTCTCTTGTAGGTTCTCAATAAGTTAATGCTCCAACTCAGTCCTGAGCCTAAGTCACGCAAAATGTCCATAGATTTCCCTAGAAGTTTTGGTTGTGGGGGGAGAGACCAACTCGCGGCCAACCCTATGTTGGCTACAGAGTAGTTATGTAAACTCCTCGAAGCCTGAGGCTCACATCTGGGAGTGCAGCAGTGGCATGTTAAGTTGACCAGCGCTGCTAGTGGGAATCAGGACTGATAATACCCCCTTACATTCTCGGTGTCCGCTTAAATGAAACTGTCACTCACTATTAACTGTCCAATTGATTTGTTCCGGAATTAATCTCGTTTGCTGAATTGCACTTTAGATTAGTTAGATAACAACATAGACGGGTTATGAGGTTCTTTCTTAACTAGGTCAAGGGAAATATTGCTGCCTTTATATTTGGACCCAGGACTCTGCTTCCATGTTCTTGGTAAGGTAATGCAACCAACCTTTCAGATCTCTCTCAGCCGCCGAATCACTGGGGCCACCAAGAAGAGGCAACCAAGCAGTTGCTAGCTAACCAACCTCTTGAGCAAATAGACAACTTCTCCAGCCATCTTAAATACAACCTTCTGCCTCGCGGGAAATAGTTCCACCACCTTGCCTGTAATTCAAGATCTGTCCTGTGTTTAGTATTGGGAATATTGTTAATATTTTTAGTATTGGGAATATTTATTTGCACGGTATAATATCAACGCGATACGGGGCTTGCAACAGCGAAGAATTGCTGTATTTTTTCAGAGCAGTTGTCCTTTTTACAGAACTGTTTGCACTGAATATCTCCTCTAAATGTCTTGTCACTTATATGGGAAAATAATTTGCTTCCCTTAAAACACAGTAACGCAAAATCAGATCATACTACCTAGAATAGAGCACATACGCGGTATAATGCTCGTCTACTTTGTACCTAGCATTTCAACCTCAGTAGGTGATACAACCTGTTTCTCTGGTTAGTACAGGATCATTTACTCATAATGTAACTGCGGCTAGGTGAGTGGTTTTGTAAGAAATAACGTAATGTATTTAATATCTGAAGAAGTCCCCTTCACCATGCACTAGGTCTGAGAGTCCATTCATTTTTTCTGAAGATTCCGGATTGGAGGTTAATGCAAGCTAGAGCACTTGGAGATGATTATCAAATGGCATCCCAGAGTACAGCGACTAACTGGGACCAGCCTTGAAAACCATGGGAATAATCTTATTGATTTCCTTTAGACATTCAGGCGACTCCGGATTACTACTCGTGTAGTGAGGGTTTACAGTAGCGTATCCACATTGTTTGTGTTGGCCTTATGCAACAAACTCCTTCTTTACGTTTGAAATTGAAATGAAGCACTTCTAAGGCCAACAATTTTCAGCTAGTGACTTAGTTTAGCTGTTCCACAAGTGTTACTCTGTAGCCAGTTAGTTCACTGTGTCAGCCAGTTATCACTGTGTTATTTAGTGTTATGGTCAACGCACATACTATTTCATACCCATAGAAAAGCACCCGAGGTAATATTTCACTCTGTTGGAATTGAAACTGTAGCAACAGGAGGTAAACTCGTTGTGGTTTAATATAGAATTCGATGTAAATAAAAAAGCTACAATTTCCTCCCCTCTCTGGGTTCTGAGCCCTAAATACACCGAGGACGTCCAGAGCCTTCGGATTTACTGCGCAGTAATTGATAGCAGAATACCTCTTCCACCCCTCCCCCACACACACTTATATTCAAGAGGTATCTGCAACTTTCAGTTTGCAAAAGTCTAAATCATGAAGGACACGTCAGTAGTCAGCCCCCCGTACCGTTTACCTATGAGAGATTAAATCCTTACTTAGTGAACCGGTGGCTGCGAGCAATAGGGGTAGAAGGGGAGCCTTGTAGCCTTGAAAGCTAGCCATGGGAAACGGACTGAACGGAGCAAAGAAAACGAATTACAGGTAATCAGTGTGTGGTTGGGTTTGATGGATTCAAATTCTTCAGACTAATTGGTCAGTGCGAACCTTTGGATGCCAGATGGTTGCAGTTCTAGTTAAATGTTTACCTTATTAGTATTTCTCTCGGAATTTCGAATTACGACAGAACGTGCCATTCCAGACTAAAACAGAACTATGGCACCGTCTGACACAGACAAGTAGCCACAGAGGCTGAAGAGTTGGTGTTGTCTAAAGTTTAAAGTCTCCATGAAAAACAATGTTGCAGGGTGGTAAATGAAAATCCGGAGACAGGATTAGCTGGTTTAATTTGTTTAGCTAGTTTTGATTTAATGGAAAATATATTTTTCATGTCTTCTCTATGCACGGAAAATATTGTTGTTTTCTATTAGGGTGTTGTATGGAGCCCATCATCCCTAGTACTTACGCGTTTGAAAATCCTGTCCTAATGCTTATTCCTATATCACCTTGTGTGTTAGAATAGTGTCTCCGATGACAGCAGATTGTCCGAGGCCACGAAGAAAATCTTGAAAATCAGCATCTTCTCACTTTTTACTGATATGAATTTCTCCTCTCTAATAGAGGAAAAGTCGCTGAGGTTAGTGCCTCTGCCTTTAGAGCAGAAAGCTCTCCGAGGTCAGACAGTCACTAACATGCTTCCTTCACGTGATGGCAACACGAGGAGGAAAAGAGAAAGTGGCTCTGATTTTAATCACACATCACTGCCCCTTTCTGTCTCCTAGGTCCATAAACTTCGCCTGCAGGCTGCCATGTCACTGACTCCCAGTAGCTGGCTACTGGAGTGGAATCTGTCGGATCGACTTAATAAGAATTTACCACTGCACTAACTGACGAACATTTGGTTTTTTGCATGGCTGGGTTTCTGTAGTGTATGTCATTTGGAGCTCACCGTCCTCGAGGCAAATAATCCCCATAAATACTCTTATTCCTGACCTCATTAGGTAGACTCAGAACAAACCTCACTTTTAACTGTGGTCTGGTGAGCTATCTGTCGGATCGACTTAATAAGAATTTACCACTGCACTAACTGACGAACATTTGGTTTTTTGCATGGCTGGGTTTCTGTAGTGTATGTCATTTGGAGCTCACCGTCCTCGAGGCAAATAATCCCCATAAATACTCTTATTCCTGACCTCATTAGGTAGACTCAGAACAAACCTCACTTTTAACTGTGGTCTGGTGAGCTGCTTTTCGCGCTTATAAATATGCTAGGAAGTGAGAATACTCTGACTTGTGGATCTTGTAATAATAATGTAGGGTTCTTGCAAAGAAACAATAGCCTGGAAGATAGAGGTCGGATTGTGAGCTCCCTGAAGGAAAGGCAATCTTCCAAGAACCTGCTGGCTTGTGAGAACAGCGAGAGGGAAGCCAGGTTCAGGCGGGCCGAGACAGACTTCTCCAATTTATTTGCTAGAGGTAAGTGCTCCTTACAGCTATTACCTGCTTAATCTCAGCAGTGTTTTAGCGTTTGTCATTCTGGCATTGCATCTAGCTGCAGATTTTGCTTTTTAATAACGAATATCTTTTTTCTCTTGCATGTTTTCTGAGAATTGTACTGTCAGAATAACACCCTGTGGATGTTGTAGATAAAATGTGTAACATCAACGTACAGGTACCTAGATGTATTTAAAATACAATTGGTCACATCCTCAGCTGGCGTAAATCGGCTCAGCTTCCGTGCAGTCACGCCAATTGCCCCACCTAAGCATGTCCCACAACAAATAATCAGTGTCCCGCATTTTTCATTGTGAACCAGCCATTAACAACGTTACATTCTTTCTGTCCGGTACAAGGTATGATTGAAAGGGGGAGAGGGTGTCGGGCTGCCGTGATTGTTACTTTTTGATGCATGGCTCGGCTGGTATCTTGTGAACATTGCTGGAGAGGCGAGGCGGAGCGCTGGGCTGCTCTCGGATTGCTCCATTATCCCCTGAATACTTACAGCACATCTGGTTTTAATGTGGGGAGAGCGCTCATTCCCGATGTGTGTTTAAAAGCGAGTTATCCGATGAGGAGGCATCGCAGTAACTGGGGGAGGGGAATTGCAGCACTTTCAGCCACAGGTGTCGTTCGCCGGGGCTGGTGGCTCAGCTCGCTCTGCCCCCGGCGCACGAGCTTCTAGGGTGTCAGCGTTGCCGCGACTGGCGCTTTTCAGCACCACGGCTAGCGAGTGCCCTGGCCGCCCGCGCGCCCGGCCACGAGGAGTGGAGCGAAGCTGACGGAGCCTGGCAGCGGATACCAGAGGCTGTCACGCAATTCCTGCGCTAGCGGCCGCGCTGCGAGCGGCCATTCTGCTGCTCCCGGGCGGGCGGGTTGCTGACGGGGACGGTCCGTATTCGCCCCCCTTGCAAGGCAGACGCCGCTGAGTGCTCGTGTCCCGCCCCGCAGATTTGCTGCCTGCCAAGAATGGCGAGGAGCAGACCATGCAGTTCCTGCTGGAGGTGGTGGACATTCTCCTCAACTACGTGAGGAAGACGTTCGACAGGTCCACCAAGGTCCTGGACTTCCATCACCCGCACCAGCTGCTGGAAGGGATGGAGGGTTTCAACCTGGAGCTCTCGGACAACCCCGAGTCCCTGGAGCAGATCCTGGTGGATTGCAGGGACACGCTGAAGTACGGAGTCAGGACAGGTACCGGCTCCCAGATCCTGCTCTCGGGGATGGGGGGAGAGGGCAGGGCGAGGGGCCGGTGTCTGCGGGCTTGGCACAGCTCCCGCGGAAGCGGGGGGGCTGGACGCTAATGTTGCTGTCACCAGTGGCAGGAGGCGAGCGCTGGGCATTTCCCGGGGGGGATGAGGGGACGGGGGGGAAAAGCCAGACATAAGGTTCCCGGGATGAAACGAGAACCGCCCGTCTCCACGGGGAGCGATCTCATTAGGTAAACGAGGGTGTAAATGAAACTGAATTCGCCGTTTTTCTTCTTTATGTTCGCCAGACGCTTAATGAAATCCTACAAACATTAATAGTCAGATTTAAACTCACGACACAAGGTCACTGCCCGGTCACTTTGAATCCCTCATTAATGCCCTTTTATCCTAACTTCTCGGCTCGCTCAGGGAGCGCTAAGCACAAACCCCAAATAAAGTCACCGATCTCCCGCTGTATGGGCAGAAAAACAAGTTGCCAATAATGCTGCATATGGCAACTACCTGAACAGCAGCTCCGGGCCTGGAGCAATAACAAGGCAGATGCCCTCTCCTCTCTGCTACTCCCTGTTGCAACTTGTTCTTAACTCTGCTCACTCCCCGAGACTACTTGGAAGGGCTCCAGGCTGCATCTTCCGTGGCCGCTCCAGCTTATGCACATGGTTTTACAGGGGACGCTCCCAGCGGGGCTCGGATCTTCCTTCTGAAATTCTCCCGCTGAGCTATTAAGAGCATTGCCTGAGGAGCGGGTCAGGCACATGGGAGAGGGTTGTCTGTCATCTAGTACAAACCGAGAAATTTGAGCCAAGCACCAACCACGAAAATACTATTTTAATCGTGTCAACCCAATCTTCATGGTTTGAAATCTTCACAAATAGCAGTTTTTGCGCCTGTTTTAATAAGCGGTAGCGTCAGGCGATCAGTTTGTGCCCTTTTCACCTGTCACCAGCATATTCTTTCAACAAAAGTAACACATACTGCCCTTTAGTTTTAATGTCCTAATTCCGTGCTTGGTTGTGCGTGTGTTCCCTGTTGTTCTGTAATTGGGCTATGTCGTTATAAAGTGTAGCTAGCACTTTTCTCCGGACTGTTCCTATGTGTTACCTGGGTTTTAATTGGTGCTATGTACTGGGATCCATTTCTTAGCCAAGTTATTAAATGGCACCAGTCCCCGAGATCTGAGACGCAGATATGTGATCAGACATTAGTCAAAGTAGCAGCAGATTAAGTACTTTAAAAACAGAAATGTAAGGCGTGGGAAGAGGGGACAAATTCAGCAGCAGTGATTAAAGGCGATTGAGACTCCAATTAAACTTCACTGGAGTTTGGATGAAGTTGTAAAGGCTTTCTTCAGGCAAAACTCCAATTGAAATCCCTGGGATTTAGTCTGTTATTTTAAAAAGCAATTCATAGTAAGGAAGAAGGGGGAGGATATGTGCTGAAAGCTGATTTACCCCGCTGATTTATTAAAATCGTTTCTCAAAATGTGTGTCAAGCCAGCAAGGGAAGAACACTTGTTTTGCAAAATAAAAAGTGAATCCCTTTTAATATAAGTACCTTATTTAACCCTTACTTTTCACTATTCAGCAGAGGAGTAAGTGGAAACACATATTTACATTCATTTAGCATATAATTTTCTGCAGTGTGTGACATTTTTCTGCAAAAACTGGTTTAATACTTAGAAAAGCTATGGCTTGTTAATATACAACAGTAAAATCGTGATGGCCATGTAATGGAGATATTATATACAGCTAAGTGAGAGGTTAGCTAACCCCAAATATATATCTAATCACCTGCAAAGGGGTTGCAGAAAAAGTTTAGAATACATGAGCAATTCATTTTGTATAAGTAAAAATAATTACGTGATAATTAACAGATGTTGAACAAGTTGCATATTGTTTGGGAAGGTTTTGAATCCTCCTCCTTCCCCTCTCCCCCACTATTTTACAGTTGTATAGGTAACACATCACAAATATGTGAAATCCTTTTGCTCTGCAGCATACTATTTACAGCAAAGTTCTGGAGTCTTTTTTTAAAAAAAAACTTTATTCTATTAATTAATTTACATTACCTTGCGGACCAATTACTCATAGTTTATCCTCTTCAAAAGAATGGGATACTCGCAGTATTCTAGAGCAGATTTCCTTATCAATGCTCATAAGAATCCCATGCAAGTAAGGATGCCCCAGTGGGCAAAGTATTGGCTTAGGATTTGGGAGGAGCAGTGTCCATCTCCCTGGCCCAGCACAAACTTTTTGTGTGATCTCAGGCAAATCATTTAGTCTCTCTGTACTCAGTTCCCCATCTGTGATATGGAGATGGTGTGAAACTCAGTACATTCAAGATTGTAAAGCTTTGATGCAGGTAATTCTGCTGATTGAGTTCAGTGGTAAAGGATTTTTGTCATTTATTACAATTGATTCTAAAGTTCTTATTAATGGTATTTATGCAAGCATTAACCAGGCTGGAAGATGAACATGGATAGTCAGTTTATAGGCAGTATCACTTTCAGGTTTTGCAGACTGTTGGGGATACAAACACTACAGAGGGATACTGTATGTAGTTTTAAAATTTGTTTTCATCGGAATGTTTAAAAACCCTATAATAATACTTCTATTGCACGCCTTTAAATCTGATTTTTGGTGGGGTTGTTTAGGTTTGTTTTATGAGTTCTCCCCTTCTCCCAGCTAAATATTGGACCAAGTTCGAGGTGCGAGTGCCCTTTTATGACATCTAAAACTGAACCATACCCTAATTCCCCGACATACAGTATTTGGTTGAATTGTTAAGTATATGGCAGAGTTTTGCATTATATTTATTTCGGGTACTCCTCAGGATCCGGGAAGCTCACCAACTGCCCGTGTTAAGGGAATGACTAGATTTAATCTAATATTAATTTGGATTCATTCTGACTTGGCAGATTCTGGCTCAAACGCAGAGGTCTGCCTGACTCTGAAATAATTAACTGGTTTTAAAAGCAATCTCATTTTTCTGTAGCTGAATGTCTTCTACAAAACTTTTCAGGGTTCCTGCCTCAACCCTGTCCCATTAAAGTCTGTGGGAATCATGCCATTCCGTGCAAGCAGGATCAGGGCTAGCGAAACTCCTTTATTGCCCAGACTCATGCAGAGGAAGGAAGAGCAGAGTTCTTGGCTAACCAACTCCACCTACAGTTCACAACTCTGCCCATTTCATATCGAGAGACCAAGGAGTACACTCTGAACAGCTTTCCTCTTTTCTTTATTTAAATACAAATCTGTCCCCAAGTCTGCTGGCCACAGATGCTGAAATATATTACCCCCTGTACTTCACTGGCACCCCAGTTATAGAACTTCTAGGGGCATCTAAGCCCTGGTCCACACTGAGGATTTATTTTGAGATAAGTGGAGCCATCATGCTACGAAGCATGGGCGGTCAGTAATGTAGACAAGGAAAGGCACAGCCTTCCCAAAACTGCCTACATGACCCACTGCCCCAGTCTCCCTCTGTCCCTGGGAAGGCTGAAATCAAGGCACTGCAGCCCAGCTCCCCGCCTGGTTGCCAGGTGAGGGGGGAATGGTGCTGCACAGCTTTCCCCAGCTGCTGGGGAGCCTGGTAGCCAGGCAGGATTCCGCTAGGGGTGGCCAGAGCTTGGCTTCAGGGGCAAAGCCCTGGGTAGAAAGGTTAGGGCTGAAACTTGCCTTCCCCAGCTGGGGCTCCATCCCACCTCCATGCTACCAAGCCTGTTATTTTCAAATAATGGACTGGCTATTTCAAAATCTGGGCTCTTGCCTTCCTTGGGGAATAACGCTAATTTCAAAATAGTTATTTTGAAATAACATTAGTGTAGACACTCAGCTGCTGCTATTTTGAAATAACTACTCCCTAGAGTAATTGGAAGTAATTACTCCCCAGTGCTTCCTGGGACTTTAAGTCAAAGTAGTGCATCCACAATAATGAAGCCTGTCTTGGGCTAATTTGCAGGTTTCCCCATAGTGTGGACAAACTATTTTGCTTTTGCTATTTTGGGAGTTATGTCAAATTTAGTTATTTCAAAATAATTTCCTAGTGTAGATATGCCCTAATAGAGTAAACAACAGATTAAAGCTTTTCAATTTGTGCCATACATCTTGTCTTACAAAACCAAGCACGGGTAACTGCTGAAATAAAAATGAATCCACAAAAATAATAATGAAAGGCATGTGCTATATTGGTTTCAATCATCTTTCCAGGTCATCCTCGTTTTTTCAACCAGCTCTCCACTGGACTGGATGTTATTGGCTTGGCTGGTGAATGGCTGACGTCAACTGCAAATACTAACATGTAAGCAGTCCAGTCTCCTATGTTCTTTCTTTTCTGTATTAATGCTTATACAGGTTGCCAGGACTGTTTTGAAAACTCAGTAATAATAAAGATGCCCTCTGTAATGTATTATGTGGCCAACAGATTTTTATGTTATAGAATGCAGCAATAACAGAATTTTTAAGAGGAAATCTCACATTAATACTACACAGAAGCTTAAATATGCTAAAACCAAGCATAAGTGTAAACAAAAGAAAGTATTTTTCATGCAATGCACTGTCAACCTGTCGAATAACTTGCCAGAGGATGCTGTGAAAGCCAGGATTTTAACAGGGTTCAAAAAGAGCTAGATACATTCATGGAGGATAGGTTCATCAATGACTATTAGCCAGAATAGGCAGGAATGGTGTCCCTGGCCTCTGTTTGTCAGAAACTGGGAATAGGTGACCGGTGATGGATCACTTGATCCATCACTTGATTACCTGTTCTGTTCATTCCCTCTCCGACACCTAGCATTGGCCACTGTTGTAAGTCAGGATACTGGGTTAGGTGAACCTTTTGTCTGGCCCAGTATGGTCATTCTTAAATTATGTTCTTAAATAAAATATAGTCAAGCTGATAACACAGTACCAAATAATGGAACTTCTTTTGGAGAAATTCTTGCTTAAGTATCTCAATGTATTACAATCAGACTTCTTAAAATTTAGGTTGTCTTTTGGATCAACTAATTAACTATTCTTCTTTCCTTCCTTCTGTAATTTGGGTCCATTCTTGTTAAGGTCTTACTTTCTGACTAATAATTTTGCAATTATCTTAATTCAAAAACTAGAGCATACAATATTGGTGTACCTGATTCTTCTCTTGCTTCCATTAAGCCCAGTGAGAACAGGAGTGGGCTCTTAGCTTCCTCCTTATTCAGCTGTTATCACATAGGATGCTGCAGAGAAGCTGTCAAAAGGATTAAAAACAATAAGACTGAAAATTAATTTGATAATGTGAAGGAATTCTCATGACTGAGATTTGGTGTATGGCAGGAAGAGACAACCTTTTGGATCTAGGTTGCATTTAATAAATTATATTCCAATATTCATTCCATATAATGAAAGTGAAAATTCAGTTCAAGGTGTTGTGTTGTATTTCTGCAACAAATAGTGTCATTTGAAGGGGGGGAAAAGCCTTTGGGCAGTGTTAAATTATGTATTGATTTGTATATGCTCCAAAAAGTGTGACATTCTAGGATTCAAATACTAATCAGGGTAACAAATGCCAGTTTCCATTTCAGGACTTTAATAGATATGTGTATGGTGTTGTAGCTGTGTTCATTTCACCTAAGGCTGCCACTAGCCTGAAAATGTAGCTTTGTTTTTGCAATGTGTAGGACACAATGACATTTACCTGTAAATTGAAAAAACAAAGATTATTTTCATTTGCTTCATCCTTGGATGATGGTTGGCTGGGTATAGTTGATTACTAGCTGCTGTATGTAGTTTGCCAGATGTGCCCATCCTGTGACTCCAGAAACAAAGAAAAACACAGAGGAGATTTAATTAATCAACACCCAGTTCTTTTTAATAATTTTGGTCCCAATTAATTTAATATTTTCCAGAAATTGTATTAAATTCAATGTGCAAAATATGTGAAAAAAATACTTAGTTTTTAATGTGATTATTGACAGATTTTTTTGTTTTGTTTTAAAAGTCTGATTTATTTTATTTTAAATAACGTTGTTTAAATTCCACTACTGCATAGGGATAAAGCATAATCTATTTTTAAGTTATCAAGTAAATTATGCTGATGACACTGTGAGCAACGTTTTGTCTTGACTACTATCTCATGCATTCTGAAGTCATGTTGCACAAGCTGTAAGTCAAAGCAGAGTTTTATCTTTATTGACTTACCAGTTTCAACAGTGTGATTATTTAGTATGAAGGATTCTTTTTTTTTTCCTTGTCTTAGAAAATTGTCTTGTTAAAATAGTTTAACTCAGGAAAGTTCATTACACTTTCTGGACTATCTGCACGTTAAATAGGAAAATATTTAATGTATATAGAAAATGATTTTCTGTAAGCATGAAAATTATATAACTTTTTAGTGTTGGATTTACCAAACACAATACACATAAATTGTTCCCTTACCTTAGCTGTGCAATGGAAAAATGCAAAATATATCAAGAATTTAAGATCAATATAATATAGCTTAATAAAACATTGGTTTCAGATACTGTTAGACATGTTTATACAATATTACATTATTCAAACAGATCAATGGAGAAGGTTTATTGGACTTTAAAAAGTTAAATAAATTCTATCCATTTTAGAAAATGGATTCTCTGGTTACTGTAGCTTTCCAGCACTGAACAAGAGTTAATGAATGACCTATATCTAGAATTTTTTCTAATGTAGTTCTGATAGTAAAATATGTAATGTGACAGTAACATTGGCTTCTTGGGAGGAAGTTTTCTTCCTACTGTCATTTTTTCTTTTCCACCACTAAACAGTGTAAAATAGTTTTGATTACAGAGAATATTTTTCCTCATATGGACTTTGATCAGAATTTCATTTTACCTTTATTTACTTCTTTTGTTCGTGTTATGACCACAATAAGCCAGGTTAGCCATGATAATCTCCATGTAGATCTACAAATTGAGTATCAGTAATTGAAATTATGATTAATAAGACATTGAGGGTGGGATTTTCAGAAGTGTTGACTTAACATTGCTCTCGTAATCATTGATAAAGCTTCTTTTGGCTTCAGTGGGAGCAAAATTAAGCTACTAATGGGCGCTTTAAAAATCCCACCTTTCTACATTTTCAGTCACTAGATGTGATATCTGTGAAAACTATATTTGTGTGGAAGTTCCAAGGACCATATCCTTATGAAGTCATTTCATACAAGAGTTTTCTTCCATGGCTGCACACATTATATATCTTTTTAGGCAGAAGTTTTCAAAGGGTAAAAATTAATGGGAATAGACCAGAATATCCAAATCCCATGCGTGATTTTGAAAATCCCAGGGTATGTCTACACTACCCCGCTAGTTCGAACTAGCGGGGTAGTGTAGACATACCCCTAGTTCTTGAATGCAGGGATTTGGAGCAATCAAGTTTTTGAATTGCTCCTCTCCAGCTCTGCTCCAGCATCAATAGTGACTGCTCTAGCTCTGCTCCGACACTGCTCTGCTCTCCAACTCAAATACATTTTTAACTAAATAAAAAAATGCATACTGTAATTTTGTAAAAACATTATTTTTATTCAGAGTTTTAATACAATTTAGATGTCATCAACAATGATACAAACTAGAATCATTCATAATTCAATCTGTAAAAAATTATTGCAGCAATCAAGTCATCTTTCATAGCCTGCCGCAGATCATTTAAAATTAACTTTAAAGCCAAAAACAGTCGCTATATACTAGCTTGAATTGTTGGCATACTTGAAGCAATTCTACAGGCAGCCTGTATGCAGTGTGGGTAGCTGTGAATGGCTGTATTTCATTTATCATTTCTTTATGAATCTTTTCAGACTCATGCAATATTTTTCCTAACATTCATTCATTTTGACTTATTTAATATTTTTCTCGGTGAATACTCTTAAAGTGACACACACAAAAACCTTGTTAAAAGCTATGTACTATATGTACAAGCAATGTATTCTTTCAGGAGGTATTTGGAGTTCCATTTGAAAGTACTTAGGGGCAACTCCAAAGGCTATTTAAATCCAATTGAAAAATCCCATTGACTTCAATGGGCTTTGGGTTAGTCCCTCAGGGTATGTCTACACTGCACAGCTATTTTGAAATAAACTATTTTGGAATAGTTATTCCAAAATAGCTTATTTTGAAATACTGTAGCATGTTTACACTGCAGGGAAGCCTCAAAATTAGTCTAAGGCAGGATTCCCTAATGTAGACGTGCTATCTCAATTTAGAATCCCAGCATGCACTGGGGAGGAATAACTTAGAATGGCCCTGGTGAAAGGCTATTTCGAAATAGCAGCAGTGGAGCATCAACACATGTCTTATTTCAAAATAGCTATTTTGGAATAGGCTTTATTCCTCATGAAATGAGGTTTACAGAAGTTGGAATAAGCTGTCCATTTTGAATTTATTTCTAAATAACGGAATTGCTATGTAGACACTCACACTGTTATTTCAAAATAATGCTAGCTATCTCGAAATAAGTGCAATGTAGACACATCCTCAATGACCTGTATATTAGAGAAGTCACATGGACTTTAGATGCAGTTTTTCCAAATAAGGAGTGGAAGATCAGTCTCTAGATTTGCAGTATTTAAAAACAATCGTTATTGCTTTGCTCCTTGATATTCTGCAAGAAGAGCTTAATTTATAAATTCTGTATTTCTGTCATTGCTGGCAATTGTCAACTTCCAGAACACCACTATAATTGATTCCCTGTTACAATTCTGTTGATTTAAAGAAACAGATGCACTATTTTGACTATGCAAACTGAAAATAACTAGAAATAGACAAAAATACAAATCCTATCTAATCTTAAATGGACATCCTATAAATGTCATCTAGGTACTAAGCCAGAAGAGGGACTTTGGCAAGGAAACTGAGGAAGTTAGGAGTCCAGATTCCAAGAAATTCAGGTGTCTAACTCAGGTCCCTTTGAAAATCCCAACCCTTACAGTTATGTATTTCTTCATTTTAAATTCATTTTTTTTCTTTGGTCAAAATAAACCCAACCTCACATAGCTGGTATAGTGAATTGACAATGAGCCTTTCTTGGTCACCTAGCAGAGTAACATAGCACATCACTCCAGAATCAATATTTTGTCCATGATATGCATGGCATAGTGGACTATGCAATGCTTCTGGTCTGCATTAGGTGTCTCTAACAGTTGACTGCTCTCTCGTTTGCAATTGGTAATTAGAAAATCATCATTTATAATTACTCTTGACAAATATTGATTGCATGGCATTGTAGAAATAAATTGTCCTTGGGGATTATCTGTAGAATATGCCCAGTTAAATAATTGTATTTAGATTTTTTGAGCCCTAGTTCAATATTTCTAATTATCTTTGTGGTTAGCTGTCTAATGTTTACTGTTTTCGTAACTTTGCGATTCTGGCAATATGCTATTTTACAAGCGTAAAACTGGCACTCTGTGAACCAAATATTTTACAGTCTTTTTTGCATAGTACTACTTACTAACTGTCAGAATGGTTGTAATTACTGTAAATGAGATAAATACAAAATGTGGTGATCATTGGTTAGCAGAAACAGTGGAAAACCTACAGAGGGCCTAATACTGCATTCTTTACTTGGGCAATATTTCACTGGCCTTGCAGGAAGTTTTGCTTGAATAAGGGCTGCAATATCAGCCCCTGAATTCATTGAGAATTTTGTTATGATATTTTCACAAAGGATCAAAGATTAACCATTTGTGGGTTTTTTGGAATGTGAACTATGTATCATGTATTTGTTTTTAAATCCATTCAGGTTTACGTACGAAATTGCACCTGTTTTTGTCCTGATGGAACAAATAACACTTCGAAAGATGAGAGAGATTATTGGATGGTCAAATAAAGATGGTGATGGAATATTCTCACCTGGTAGGTCTGTGTCATTTTTGAGAAGTTGAGATAAATATCTCCTGTAGATGAAAGCTTAGGTTCATGTAAGTACTGCAATAGAAAATGGAGTGTCTGAGTTTTAAAATTAATAATGTTCCACCTAAAGCATTGTTTCTTTCAAGCTTCTCATAATCGGTTAACAAGATTCATAGGTCATTTTCATCTTTGGGTGTAGATATGACTATAATGACACAGGCCATTCAGAAACTTGGCAAAAAATTTCAAACGTAAGTGCCTACAGCTAGGTACCAAAATCTATATATAGGTGCCTAATTTCCAGAGATGTTGAGCAAATACTTCTCCTTGGCTGAAAGCTCACACCTCTAAAAATCCCGACAACACATATTTAGGTACAGGGCATCATGGAAGAGGAGTGTGTTGTCTTTGCCGCATCTTTCTTCCCTTCCCCATAATTTATAGATACAGCTATTTGGGTGGCCAATAAAGATTTGGATCCAAGGTGAGGGATTAGAGGATGGCCACTTTCTATGGCATCATCTTCATGGAGCCCACACAGAATCTGATCATGTGGGTATGCTGGCCTAGTCCAAAATATCTCTTTTACTACCCCACTCCATGCTTTGAACACACTCCATTCATGGAGCATAGGGAATGGCCAGTGGCAGAGGAGACTGGGAAGCAATTCAGAGGTGCAAGGCCTCTTCATAGATGGCTCTCATGTTTAGTGGGACTCCTGAGATTGTGTGGGTTTTGGGGGACAAATCCCCTTCTTGTTTCAGAAGACGGAGGACAAATCCCAAGTAAAACCCCCATTAATGCAAACTTGCTTAATTCCTGTGCAGAAAAGATACACAAACAAAACAGTCTAGATAGTGCACCGGTTAATGGTAATGTTTAAGAAAAGTCTCTGTTATATGTCTTCAATATCATGGAATTAGGTAAAAAGTTGTTATTTTTGTTAACAGAGGTTATGGGCTTCATTCCCAAGGGCAGCATATTGAACACTGACCATCTAATGAATGTGTTACAGAAATATTAACACTCTGAAGGGGAGATAAATAAGAAAATCTGACTTCCAATATGGATTCTTAAAAGGTCCATACTTTAGATCTTCCGGATAGATAATCATGCATCTCAGTAATTTGTTCTTTCATATTTCACTGAAGTTTTCACTACATTGCACAAATGATATTGATATGCTTTTGTTCTAGAAAAGGTCAGATTGCTTTTCTCATTTTCAATATTTTATTATATACTCTTTTATAGGCGGGGCTATATCCAATTTGTACAGCATAATGGCTGCTCGCTACAAATATTTCCCTGAAGTCAAAACTAAAGGCATGGCTGCAGTTCCAAAACTGATTCTCTTCACCTCAGAACATGTGAGCTTAATGCTCTGCTAATTGATGTTGTTAATTTAGTGCTAAACGTTTTTAAGACATCCCTTGAAATGACTAGTCCACCATTAAGAGTGTGTATGTTTTTCCTACAGAGTCACTACTCAATAAAGAAAGCTGGGGCTGCACTTGGGTTTGGAACAGAAAATGTGATTTTGATAAAATGCAATGAAAGGTAGGATAAACATTAAGTTCTTGATACATTAAATGTGTTCATCTGTTAAATTTGTTTTATTGTGCTTAAGGCCTGGTTCAGTACAGTGTGTCAAGCTGCTAATGGTCTGTTCAAAAGATCCTATTAAATTACTTCTGCTATAGCTGATACTCTTTGGTGTGCAGTCTTTTAATTTCCTTTGTGTTTTTGTTTCTGCCATAATTACAGAGGGAAAATAATACCAGCTGATTTGGAAGCCAAAATTCTGGAAGCTAAGCAAAAGGTATGCATTTTAATGCTTAGGGCTTTGATGTTCAGATTAAGGATTTATTGCCTTTTCCCTTAAGGAAGGAGGTTAGAAAACACCAATATTTATTCTAGAAGCTGTCATACCTAGTATTTTATAATTATAATTTTGGTGTATGTTTCTATGCTGTTTAAGAAATAATTTACATATCTTGGTTTTCATGTGGATGTACACACAAGCCTAAATGAGAGGGATTTTTCCTTGTTTTAATTTTTGGTTTTAGAAGGATTGAAAAAGATAATTATTAATATGGAATATCCTGTTAAAATATGGAAGAACCTTTTAGGGGCTAATCCTACAAACTCTCCAGAATTTCTATTGACTTCAAGGTGGGTTTATTGGATTGATCTCTTTACATGTTAATTTTAATTTTCCATGGGAGGAATCCTATCTTTAAAAATGAAAATCAAAATAAGTTAATGTTCTGAAAAGAAGTGAAGAAGAATCTTCAGAAGTTTGTGTTCAAGAGTAACTATTCTAAATAAGTTGTAGCTTTCATATTAAATATATTTTGGTGATTATGCTGTCCCTGTAACAAGTCAATAGGTACATTTTAAACTATATTTAACTAGTAGGTGAGGCCCATTATTGACCAGGCAAAGTCATTTTATATATATATACTTATAGGAAAGTTCAGGAAATTAAATAGCTCTAAAAGAATTTTTTATTAATGTGCTTGCAAAAGGGAACTAATAGAACCATTTTAAATTTGTAGGATTTCAACTTCAAATATTATTCATTTTATTGAATAATTACCATACATAGTAAATGTGAATCAGAAACTTGTAAAGCTTCCATTACTCTTTCTGTAACTAATTTGAATTATTTTGTGATTTGTAACAATAAATAATTTTCTTTGCACTAAAATGACAATTGAATATGCAACTAAATTTTAATTTTGTTAGCAAATATTTTTATGAACTCAAATCATAATAATCATGACTGTTTTCAGATGGAAAAACAAAAATAATTATTTAAGCCTTTAACCCAGCATATGCCAGTGTAAAAATAGTGGATTCAGCTAATTTAAGTGGCAGGATTCGTTATGCAAAATTTGGCATGTGTATGTAATCGCGAAGCTTGACTTTATTTTGCACAAACAAATCCACAAACAAACAAGCTCTTCAAAATATATAGTAGATGAAGTTCAAAGTCAACTTAGTTTGATATGCCTTACACTTGAACCTTTTCATTCCATTGCATACAAGAAATATCAAAGGAACACCTATCCTCTTAATCAGCCTGCATTTTTTTATTTTTCATTTATTTACTTTTTTGCTTAATATGAATACAACAGTCTCATAACTGTACAATAATCAAAAGAGTTTAGAAAAAAATATTTCTTTAGTTTGTGCTGCGCTTCATATAATCAATTTTCCCATTTCCCCTGTGTTGCCAATCAGGAAATCAGTTTTCATTGTTGTTTGTGTGGGTCTTTCATGCAGCAACAAGGGAGATAAAACATTTTTAAGCAATAGAGAAATTAAGTAGTAAAACCAAAAATGTTGACATTGTGATAGAGAGGCAGGTCAAGTACCTGAAATCACTTTTCACTGATTCTGAAATGGATCAGATTTCACACTGAATCAACATTATTTATATTTCAGGGACATGTTCCACTTTATGTAAATGCAACAGCAGGCACAACAGTATATGGAGCCTTTGATCCAATAGACGAAATTGCAGACATATGTGAAAAATATAACCTCTGGCTCCATGTAGATGTAAGTAATTTGCTAAAATTAATACCGGTGAAAGAGGATTCTAGTCTGCAAATGTTTGATGTTAAATTTAAATCCTTGCTATTAAGCCGTGCTCATCTTTCCTGTGATTTTGATTTTTCAGATAATTGTGAATAGCTATAAAGCCCCATCCTGTGAATCTTCCACATATTTAATTTCCATTAGTTTAGTGGGACGAGGGTTTAAAGGGCTGGGTCCATAGTAAACTGAACTATTACAGACTTGTTAAAAATACTTGTTCTTCCAACACTTTCAGGCTGCTTGGGGAGGAGGACTTCTAATGTCCAGGAAGCATCGTCATAAACTGAATGGAATAGAAAGGTACTGCCAATGGCTTACTGGTGTTGCTATTTATTTATGTAGTTTATGACCTTTCAAACAAATGTATGAAAAGGAGCTTACTCTGCAAAATTAAACACAAACAACAAAATGTCATGTAGGGGGCTGAAAACTGCCTTCTCTTACGCATCTCCTCTACAATGCAAAGTAAAAGGTAATTTTGAAGGAGGATGGGGAGATTATTTAGCAAATAGAAAGAGGGAAGACAATTCCAAGTGTAAAATGTAACTTCAAAGGAGGCACAGAGCTGGAACAGGATAAGGAGACAATGAGGATACTAAAGAGAGAGGACCTGTAGGAAATTAGATTTAGGCTGGACTGGGCCGTTAAGGATTAAAGGGCTAAAGTTGTTGTGGGACAGAAGAGGAATCCTGGGAAGACATCTGAATGTGCATGTGTGTGAAGGGTAGCAGGTTATGCAAATCCTCAGGGCTCAACAAATTATGGAAAACCCTACTCACCAGAGAAAAAAAGGACTTGCCACTTCCCCTTCCCCCCAAAAAAGTGTTTTTTTAATGGCATAAATTCCTAATAAGAATAAGAACAGTAATTACTAATAAGTGTATTAATAACTTGAGTGATATTTATTAATAATATATTATAAACCTCTACCTTTTCCCTCTGCTGCCATGTCTCCTCCCCTTGCTCGATCAGCTCCCCTGGTACCTGCTGCCCCCCAACCTCTCACTCTCCTCTGCTGTCCTGACTCCTGCCCTTCTCACTGCCCTCAGCCTTCCTGAGACCTTCCCCCCTCCACCAGCCCTTCTCTCCCCCCTGTGCCCACTCCTCCAGTAGCCCCACTCTGATCAAGTGAGCTACCCCTTCTCATCCCCTCTCCTAATACTTCCCTCTACACACCCGCCCTGCCTCTCTCCTCTGGTGCTGGTCCCTCCCCTGCAGGTGTCTGCCCTTCTGCTTCACCCCCAGAATTCCCTGGCACCTCCACCTTCCTTTAGCCCTGCACCCTCTTAGTGCCTCTCCCTTCCCTCACTATCCCTGCCCCCTTTGACCTTTTTTTCCCTGATACCCACCCCCTCACCACCTTCTGCCCCTATTCCCCTCATGCCCCTGTGCCCTCACACATGCCTTGCCCACCCCTTCTTTCATGCCTTCTCCCAGCACCTCTCCCTCCCCCTCTAACCCCCAATGCCCTTACCCTCTCCTCTCCCAGCATCACCCTGTCCCCCATCCCACTGACACTGCCCCTTCTGCCCTTTTCCTCATTGTCTGCACTTGGCCCCCTGGCATTTGTGTCTCCTGCACCCCTGTCCCTTGGTGCCTTCCACTTTTTTCTTCTTCTTCTTCTCTTGACCTCCTCTCCTCCCCTCCCCTCAGCACAAGCCCCTTCCCCTCCCCTCAGCCCAAGCCCAAGCCCAACCCCAAGCAGCCCAAGCCCCTGCCCTATCTGGCTTCTGCCTTCCTCTTTGCGGGGTTGCCGGAGCCTTTTTTAATATGGCTGTTGCCGGCCGTGACGTCAGGATGCCACGTCACGCCAGCATCCTGACGTCTGCTGGCGTCCCACCTTCTGGCTCGCACCCCGTCTCCTCATGCCGGAGCTGCATGTAGGCAGCTGAGAATCGCCGCACTTCCCCCTTCCCAGCGGCACTCTGTTCCTCCACCAGCCAGTGGATCTGATGGGGCCGCGCCGCCTGTAGTGCTGGCTTCGGCCAGCCTATCACAACGGCCCACCGGGCCAGTTCGCCCCTGCACTCACCAGCTGGTAAAATCTACTCGCCACGGGTGAGTGTATTTGTTGAGCCCTGCAAATCCTCATCTTGAAACTCTTTTCAATCCCTTCCAGTAAATATGGAAACTTTATTCTAGGTACAGATGAATCTTCTATAAATGAGAGCCAATGATGTAAACATTGACTAGAGGGACACGTGCTGGGGCCACACTGGCAGTGGCTTTTAGGGGTAGAACTTCTCTCTTCATGGCTGAAAAGCACAATGGCACCAGCAGAGCTGATACCGTTCCATTATACAGGGGTAGAAGGATTCATAAAGATTGTGTAGGGGTCTTGCTACAGCGCAGCATCACAGAGTCCCTGCACCTCAGCGTGCATGGGACTTTGGAGGTGTGACTAGTGGTTCCGCAAATACATTGCTCCAAAAGCTAGTCCCTTTTTACAGCAGGGCCACGGGCCACGAGGGCTACTGAAGCATAAGGCTACTGTAATGGCCAGAAAATGGTCTGTGGGAAATATACTTTACCACCATGTGCCTTTATGGCATTTCACATTACACAGCCATGTTCCTCTAGTCTAGGTATTAACTGAGGCAATGATCTGGCCTTAATTGAGTAGCTGACTTGATTTAAGAATTAAACTTAAAACAAGCAGGAAGTTTTTGCTGAGCTCGACCCAGGCTCGTGTGCTGGTAACCTGCATCATTTTGGCACTACCTTGGTCCACAGCTTGTGACACAGAACAGCCTCCCTGCCCCCCGCTCCACAAATCAATGTTTATCCATAGCCCCACAATGGCCCTGTCTAGTTTGATGGGCAGACTTTTCCACAGGGATGGCCCTCATACAATGGCAACAGGGCCTTAACCTACACATGTCAGTAAGTTTATAGCCTTTTGTGAGGGTTTGTCACTTGACTCATCTGCTCCCACTGGATAATGCTCTATCAGCAATGACTGCCCATATGCATGTAAATCAGAGAAGTGCTGCATAACCAGACCAAATATAAGCTGCGCCATTAATATGTGCAGGATATCTGAATCCCCAAAGAAACCAAAAGGCATCTGATGTAAAATCTACCTATGAACAGCTAAATTAGCATGGAAAGAGCTAGCACAAAATTCCTTCCATACACTAGACTGGGCAGTCATTTCTAATTCCCAGAACACACAGATGTAATGTAACATAATAAAAGGAGACCATGAAACATAAACACTTCCTCGTAAAAACCAAAATTTCCCACCACTGGGAATCTATAGCATATAACCAGCAAAAATTGGATAAATAATGAGGGAAAATAATGTGGACCCTTCAGGTGCAGAGATTAAGAATGCAGTATGATGCACCTGGAAAACTACAAAGCAACTGAACAAACCCAGGTTTAACCACTGGTCAGTCCAATTGGCCAGCCACTCATATGTATGGTGGTAGATCCACCGATGTGCTATAGTGCCTAAATCTGTCCTTACATCCATTTGTAAATCAGAACAAAATCTGGCACACTGCTGCTTGACCTGAGGTCAGCTGGAGCTACTAAGTATTTCCCAGCTCTAAGTAGTAACTAAAAATAGCAGATCTCAATGGGTGCTGGGTTTTTTTTTCTTGCCATAATAAACCACATTGATCTACTGGGAGAGGATGCATGCTGCATAATTGATTGCCGCAGGCCCCAGCTGGAATCTGTTTGCATGCTAGCCGGATTTGATATACCCAGAAACACGTACACACTCTGAATGGCCTTTTGTTATGGGGGTAGGCCTGAATGAGCTATCCTTGCATGCCCTTTTCCCGTCCAACTGTGCTGGGCAGATAAAATATGTTAAAATCCTCCTAATAGCCTTTTTTAAAAATCCATCCTGGGAAAAATGCTCAGCCTTTTCGAAGCTTAAAGATATGGTACGTAACACAGATGGTAAATTGAGACCACCCCTCGCCATTTGAAAAGCTAACAAATACATTCTACTTCCTAAATATTTCTAATGCGCCACTGAACTTTCTGGAAAAAAATCACATCCCACACAGTCTGGTTTCTGTGCAGAGAAGCCTGATTGTGCTGTGTGCATGTGAGACCTATACTCGACTGCATTACTCAAAGGGGAATTCCTGGTGAGAGTGAGGCATTTGCACTAGTCCTTTGGCTGATGTGTTCCATTGTCTATCCTTGAGGCCATGCCTACGCTATAGAGAAAATTGAAGCAGCCCCAGTCGACATTCTACTAAAGAACTTATCCCCTAGTGTAGACCAGGGCTAAGATAGCTCTGGTAGCAGAGGCCATACCTGTTCCATTTGTGGGCATTTCCCAGATTGCAGGGACTGTGATTATTTCTGGCCCTTGAAAGGGGGATGCAAGGAAAGAGGTTTTTGAATTGTTCTTCCCAACCCAGCATGTACCCAGGCAAACAACATAAAAAAAATCTCACCCATGTTATATACTTTCCCTCTTTAAAGAAACTAAAATACATAGCTGTTCAAGGGGATAGCCTGTAGCTAATAAGATGGAATGGAGAGGGCAGTAATATAAAATGATGGAATATTTCTTCTAGCATAATATGAAGGATAGTGTGTTTAAAACACTAGACATCTGACCTGCTTTGCAAGAAGGGTGCTGTCTAGAAGCACCCTTATTGTCAGAATAAGCTAGCGCAAATTGCATAGCTTGTTCCGAGTCTAAATTGAAAGAGCTTATTTTGAAAGCGCCAAATTTCAAAATAAGGCACTATTCTGACACATCCCTTAACACTCGTGGAATGAGGGTTACAGGGATGCTGGAATAGCACGCCTACTATTTCAGGAAATAGTGGGTGCTTTTAAAGACGTGGCATTGCTATTTCAAGATACTTCCAGTATCCTGAAAGAGCAACGCAGTCTAGACGTACTCGAAATTCATTGATCTTGAATATCCATTGAGTCTTCAGCCTCAAAAGTTCTACATTATGTTAGTATGTACTTTAAAGATTTTTTATAGCCTTTTAACAGCCTATATGTTTGACAAATTAGTAAAACAAAAAAAAACAACAAAAACCCCAAAGCCTTAGAGCTCTCACTGGAAAAGTGGGTAAGAATTAACAGCTTTTCTTTCCTTTTCCTACTGGAAAACTATAACAGTGCCAACCATTTAGCAAAACTGTAGATACCTGGTGTGTGAAAATGTCTCCATAATTCCTTGCCCACCTGCAGGTACTTTGAACTAATCAAAGCTGACATGCTGTTTTTGTTATTCCTGTTAGTGCTGTCTGCAGAAGGCCATTCTTCTGGGAATAAAGTTACAATATCATGTAATCAGCATAGTCTGACACTAATTGGGTGACATTAATTACAATATAAAGTAATCACTATTGTCTGACACAGTAATATAAAACCTAGAAAAGCTGCTTTGCTAAGCTGCACATCTTGGAAAGGTGACATCCAATATGCTGATACCATCCATAGTTAGATGAATGAGGCAAAACACCCAATCTGTTTATGACAACTAACTCTGGTCTGATTCTGAAGTCATTTATACTGGCTTTACACTGGTGTAAGTTTATCTTTGTTTTCCATGTCTGTTCTAAGTGCTTAATTCTTTCGCAGAGCCAACTCAGTCACATGGAATCCACACAAGATGATGGGAGTTTTGTTACAATGTTCGGCCATTCTGATTCGGGAAAAGGTCTGTTTTATATTTGTTAGTTTTGCAGTAGAACAATTAGTGAAAATGAACCCTGATTTTTTTTAAGGGCATACTGCAAGTCCCATTTTTGGTAGACTTATTTCTGAAGGGCTATATTTGTGTTCATTTTATTTGGAGAAGGGAAATACTATTCCCTTTGTTAGCTTTTCATTAACACAGTAAATACAGATCTTCAGATTGCTCCAGTGATGTCAATGGAGCCATGCTGAAGTATACCAACTAGGGATCTAGCCCTGTGTTTTTATAAAACTTAGTATGTGCACCATGTGACATGGTAAGAGAGCAGTGCATGGACTGGTGCTGGTCCTTGAGAGCTCCCCTACGCAGTTTAGGAAGGCAGGAAGCTGGTCCCTGGCATCGAAAAGGTTAAACACAGATCTAGTGGATAGATTATTAGAGTGAAACTTGGAAGGCCTCAGTTTCAGTGCCTGCACAGCCATGACCTGCCAGGTGACCTTGGGCAAATCACCTTATTGCCCGGTACCTCAGTTTCCCCAGATGTAAAATAGAGATGATTGCCTTCTTCTGTAAAGTGCTTTGAGCACTAATGATAAAACGATAGTACATGCATATATGATGATAACTCAGAACATGATAACTTCCTGTTTTTTTTTTTGTTTTTTTTTTATATTTCTGTGTTGATCATATCCAGTCAAGGAAAAATAACATTAATAGTGAAGCAGTAGGACAGTTCTTTTTCTTTTCATTCTGAAAGCAGAATGCATCTACTATGGGCCCAGTTATGCTCATACTTATTACTGATGTTGAGTAGTACCAGAGTGGGGCCTAAATGAAGTTAAACCCTTCTTCCACATTGTCAGTTAGATTATGCACTGGAACAAGTTCACACAGTCTCACAATACAATATAAACATACTAACAATGAAAAATTAACAATTAAAAGTCTTATTTTCTAAGAAAGAGCAGTCTCATATTCTAGGATTCTGGAGTATAGGGCAGGAAACATTTGTTGGGAATACTAATAATTCAAATACATTTAGGCTGGCATTTTCAGTAACATTATTTTAAAGTATCGTTAACACTTATTTTTATCTCAGTGTGATGTGCATGTACTATCTCAGCATGATATGCATGCAGTCTCACCACTTGAATAATCAGGAACTTGGACATCTAAATGACCAAATTGAGTGCACAAAATTGTGTCTACAGCTTGTGCCCTCAAAAGCAGGTCAGTATCTGAAAATTTGATCTCTAAAAATATACTTCTTCTACAGTGCGTTTGTATCTATTCAGTGGCTATATTTACTTGTGTGTTATACATATTTGCTTTTTCATAATAGGGTATACTTCAAGGTTGCAATCAGATGTGTGCTGGATATCTGTTCCAGCAAGACAAGCAATATGATATATCCTATGACACTGGCGATAAAGCAATACAGTGTGGACGTCATGTGGACATTTTCAAATTCTGGTTGATGTGGAAAGCTAAGGTAAACAATAAATGACTCAGAAATACATTTAATTTATGTCTAAGTTTCATGTAATAGAGGAAAATATCTATGTTTTTTTCCTTTAAAAAAAGTTGTTTGGGCTCTATGGTAAACTTCAAAAACGGAGTTTGCTTCTGACATTTTGCCTGACAAAGGACTGCAGGATTGCTTTAGAAGATGCTAATACAGCAAGCACTTAGATTTAGGCTTAACATTAATCACATTGAAGTCAAAAGGGCTACTATTGTGACTAGTGTTGACTTGTACATGAGTATTTGTAGGATTGGTGCCCAAACTTTCTTTCTTTTTAGAGGTGCGTTCTTGCTTGCTTGCTTGCTCTCTGTTTCTGAAGATTATAATGTTCCGTGACCATTTCTTCAGTGCTCACTCAGGCAAAACTACGAACTGGATGATTCAGTTGATAAAGTGGCCACAATCTATCCCTTCATGAAATCATTGTTATGGCGTACTCTAAAGTCATATAAAAATGATTTTTAGTTCAGAGGAGGATGACCAGCAGATAATGTCTGATGAATAAAAGCTCCCTGTCTACTAATATTAAAGAATGAGGGAAGAATGAGGGAAGCAAACAACAAGTATAATTCTATATTTCTGTTTTATAAATAAGATCTTTTTAGAGATTTCTATGACTTATCAGTATCTTTAAAACTACTGCAGCAAAAGAAATATGGCTGAATAAAATATTAACATTCAGATTTGCAAAAGCATGAAGAATTATTTCTACATCCTAAATGATCTTTTCCTTTGTTCATTTTACCAGTTAGTGTGGCTGTAGTAAAACCGGGTGCCAACCCATAACTTAAATGCAGGGCGGACCTCCCTCGTTCAGCACCCTTGGGACCTGACTGGTCCTGAACAAGGGGATTTGCTGAACAAGAGGGAGGAGGGTCCTTGCCTATATGGCCCATGCTTCCCCCAGCTAGGACTCCAGCCAAGCCCCACCACTTCCTTTTCAGGCCATGGCTCCCCAGGGCAGAGCTCCAGGGTGGCTGAGGCTCCCCAGTGGCCGGGGATGCGTGGCTGCCACACCTGATGGGCCTGCCTGACTGCTGCTGGTGCCGGGACTCTGTGGCCACTGCTGACCCCCCCTCCCCCACCTGCCCATCCTGCAATAGGTGCCAGAACTCCCTGCTGTGCCACCCACCTCTCCCTCAACACGGGGCTCCTGGCTAAGTCAGCCCACCACCCCCCACCACTCCTGCCCTCTTGCTCGACCTCTTTATACCTGGACTTTGTTGTCTAGGAATATCCATGGTCCTGCTGGACCACAGATGTTGCCAGACCAGAGAGTCCCAGTTAAAGGAGGTACAACCTGTATTATATGGTATCATTATTTCCAGAATACAGAACCCTGTCAACCCTGTGTAACCCATAGATCAGGTGACCTTCTAAAAATCAGCATTGCACGTGCTTTGGCTTTCCTTGACAAAACCAGTCCATTCCTTATGTCCTCACTGTTAGGCTCTCATGGCAGGCTAATGTTGCTACAAACATTCTCATTTGCAGTTGTGAGCCATTTAGTGCACCAAAATCAAACACGAATATAGAACTTGTGTGGAGTGCGAAATTCTCCTCTGCCTTCAGGCTTGGTCTACATGAGAGGATAAATTTGAATTAAGATATGCAACTTAAGTTACACAATTAACGGAGGTGAAGTTGAAGTATCTTGACTCGAATTTTGGCACTGTCCACATGGCGGGAAGTCAAAGAGAGCACACTCTCCTTTTGACTTCCCTTACTCCATGTAGGAGCAGGACTACCAGTATCGACAGGAGCACCCTCTCAGTTTGAATTTAGTGTCTTCATTAGATCCACTAATTCGAACCCCAGAAGATCAACTGTGGCTGCTTTGATCTTATCTGTAGTGTAGACATGGCCTCAGAGACTAAGATCACCTGTGTGGAGAATCTGCTTGCTAGTCACTGGTAAAGAGAGAGAGAGAAGAGGAGGAAGACCGTTGTGTTTACTGTTGTTATTCTTTATTATTGTTTTAGTGCCTTGGAGCCCCAATCTTGGAACAGAACCCCATTGTACTAGGTGCTGTACAAATGCATAAAGAATCTTCAGCCCCAATGAACTGATATCTAAGTAATAATGTGGTAAAGACCATATTTGCAGTTCAGAATTGGAACAGGATATTTGTGATTCTTTATTAGAACATGATGTAGCCCTCATACAATGCCACAATTTAACTGAATAATTTCAAATTTTGATCTGAGTCTTTTATCAATGAAGATTTTTTTTCCCAAAGCTTTTAGCTCTGAGGTTTTGAGTTGGACCCACTTCTAGTAAATTGGGTGTTATACTGTAACAGCAGCCTTTGGATCATTTTTTGGGCAAACAAAGGCACTGAAGCTGTGGAGATTCTTCTTCCAGCATTAACATCTGCCAAAAAATGAGCACAAGTTTGCCTCCAAAGTAGCCATGGGGTTTAATGTGATATTTATCTAAACCCTTGACTCATCTTGCAAATACTCTTGCAGTGTGAATTTTATCACAGTTTAGAGGACCTGTGCCACAGATGCACAATTAAGTTGACATTAAGAGCTTCACTGATGCTGAAAGGTGACCTGCAAGGGGGGGGGGGGGGGAAATGTGTACATGTCTTCGTTTACCTTTTTAATGAGGCACAAAGATGGTCTGTATTTTTTTTAAAGCTTTATTTTTCCAGGTTTTTTATCATTATTATAATTTGTTTCATTAGTTTGTTTGGAGGACTGGGAGAACAGGTGGAATTATGACATGGGTGGAAACAGACCACCTGGAAAATTGAGCAACTAGGACCTTGTCTACACTACACAGCGCTGTCAATCTACTTCAGCTACACAAATAGCATAGCTGAAATCGACATACTGCATGCAGTAAGGTTGGCGGGTGGCTGCTGTCCCATCAATGCTGGCTACTCTTCTCATATTGGTGGAGTACCAGCATTGATGGGCACATGCTTAGAGATAAATTTATCACCTCTACAATAGACATGATATATCAATAGCTGGTGGATTGATCGTTGAAGCATCAATCCACCACATAGTATAAACAAGGCCTAAGTTGGCAAAAGGATTTTCATTCAAACTATTTAAAACTCTTTATTTGCTTTCTAGCTTGCTTTTCCTAATGCCAATTTCTGACAACAACAGTTGGGAGAGAATTTAAAACTCCCCAGTTCTCTAGTCCTCTAGGAAAAAGAAAGAAGCCAAGACTTAATATTCCTGGTATTTCAAAGGCAAAAAAAAAAAAGCTGAAAAATTATCTTTTACAAAAGTTTTAAAAGTCCTTCCTTGCTATTTATTTGTCACCATAAATAAAAACAAAGTAGTTCACAAACAAAATAGTAATTCTTTTGTAAGTCACATTTAACTATATGAATTTCACTATTTACAAAATAAGTTACACTAAGGCTACGTCTACACTGGCCCCTTTTCCGGAAGGGGCATGTAAATTTCACGAGTCGTCGTAGGGAAATCCGCGGGGGATTTAAATATCCCCCGCGGCATTTAAATAAAAATGTCCGCCGCTTTTTTCCGGCTTTTAAAAAAGCCGGAAAAGAGCGTCTAGACTGGCCCCGATCCTCCGGAAAAAGCGCCCTTTTCCGGAGGCTCTTATTCCTACTTCAAAGTAGGAATAAGAGCCTCCGGAAAAGGGCGCTTTTTCCGGAGGATCGGGGCCAGTCTAGACGCTCTTTTCCGGCTTTTTTAAAAGCCGGAAAAAAGCGGCGGACATTTTTATTTAAATGCCGCGGGGGATATTTAAATCCCCCGCGGATTTCCCTACGACGACTCGTGAAATTTACATGCCCCTTCCGGAAAAGGGGCCAGTGTAGACGTAGCCTAAAAGTATTCTTTATTTCTATTGTCATTCTTTAACTTTGATTTTTAACTTTCAAAATAATAGACCTATTACATATTTTATTTTCAAAAGCTAATTATTAGAGATAGCTAGACAATTCAAGAAAAGAGGGAAAACATTATAGCTAATAAAACATTTTCTTTTTAAAAATAGGGTACAGTAGGATTTGAAAATCAGATCAACAAATGTCTGGAATTGTCAGAGTACTTCTATACTAAAATTAAAAACAGAGAAGAATTTGAGATGGTTTTTGATGGTGAGGTAAGTTATTACATGGACCATATATATTTTTCATATAACCTGACATCTGAGAACTAAGTTTATATACATTTATTGGAGCAATCTTGAAATTTCTGTAGTTTTCTCAAGAATTCATAGTTATTTATGAAAAGAACAAAATGGCCACTAATATCTGGAAATATTTTTGGTTGGATACATACTGAACTATGTGGATTTCAGTAATGAACAAAGGGATTCCTCCCCTCATTTCTTATTTTCTTTTATTTTCTTTCCTTGTTTCTTTCCTTTTCACTTGTAAAGGATACTGTATTGGGCCACAACCTGAACACTTTCCATGATATTTATCAACAAAGAGCCAGATAGATTCCCACAAGAATGTAGTGCCAGGGAACTGGTTTGGGTTCTCAGATTAGGGTCTCAAGATGGCCTTAATACAGCTGCCCTTTCATGGTGACGTTCCAGAGATTGTCACTTCTCATGCTCTAAAAATTGCTACCTCCACCTCTGCTGCTGGTGCATTAAGTGTTGGTTGATAGTACAATGGACACACTCTGTCTCTTCACTTACTAAGAGGGGGAAATCAGTTTTCAGTTACCAAAAGACAGACCTATCTGTGTAGGATGTCACTGACTAAGTGGGGGAGGGGGAGATGTCTTGCACTGAAATCTCGAGAAAGAGATCTCCTCTCAAAATTATATAAGTGTTGAACAATGTTTGTACTTCATCACATATTAAAATATTGTAAAAGGGACAGTGCATAGTGAATCCAAGATGGTTGCTGCAAATAGCAATATTAATAATAATTTATTGTTTCTTATAATATAGAACAAGCAGCCTTAATAAAATGTATTGGGCTCCACTTCTGAATAATAAAGTATTCAAGAACAATTTATAGTCCTTCAGGGGATTGGTATTTATCTTATATTTTCGTATCGTGTTCATTCACTTAGGCATTTGTATTTTTTTCCCTTTTGCAGCCTGAACACACAAATGTATGCTTCTGGTATCTTCCTCAGAGTCTCAGGGGAATACCAGACTCTGAGGAGAGAAGAGAAAAACTACGTAAGGTATGCAGCTCACATTAATCTTATATATTGTTTCATTTATAAGCCAAAGGGTTCCATTTATCTAAAATAACATATCTCTGAACGTGCTGATGAGCCTGGTGATGGAAATTTTGGGATTTCCGTTTTAGCAGGGGAAAGGGGAATTCTGTAAAATCATTGTTCTGGAAATGCCAGCACATGGTACTTCCAAAAATAAATATTCCCCGCAGGACCCTGGCAGCTGCTCACTGAGATTGTCTTGATTTTTGTCAATGACGCTTGTCATTTTTGCAGCTGCTTTTCAGTGATAGGCAGAAGCAAAAGTGACAAGAAGAATGTCCCTTTCAGGCTACAGCTGTCAGGTTTTCAAGAGTGTGTCTTAGGGCAGTCATACTATGCAGACTGCCATGGGGAAGGGAACCCCAGGGCTTCTAGACTCCTCAGCCAGCTAGTGCCCGGGCTGTCCAATTCCTGCAGCCTGGAGAGTTGACTTGGCCAGATGACTCTCTGGGAAGAAACCTGGAATCTCTGGGATCAGGAGTTGTCTCCATGGTGGGGCTGGCCCTTCATTATGAACCATGGAGGCCTGAGCTCCCCAGCAGCCCACCACCTGAGCTGGCAGGAATCCAGGCAGATGGTTACTCTGTTCATTGAACCCCATCTATTGGTGCACCCCAAGCGTTTCCTAGCAATTAGCATTTTCCAAACCTAATTCCAGGCCAACTCTACCACAGAGTTTCATGTTCTGATTGGCCCCTGGACTCCTGGACCTTGATATTTGGTCCACTTACTCTCCTGTGCTTGTTGGGGCTGAAGTTACATTTCCTCTTTGGAATCAGACATGGAATATATCCAGTTCTTCTGTGTTATGTTATGCATGTGTAGTTCATAGGTAGGCATGAAGACCAGGTCCCTGCCCATAATAGAACAGAAGGCTGGGGAGAAAGGAGGCAACACAAAGTAGTGTGATAGAAAGGAGAAGTTGGAATCCTATAAGTCCCAGAATTTTATTTTATTTATTAAGCTAACACTTCTCTCTGAGAAGTACTAGATTTTCCAGGCCTTTGCAGGGAGAGTTGTTTTAAGGAATGTTTTTGTGTAGAAGGTAGAAACATGCCAAGAGCTGGGGTATGAAAGAGATTTCCAGGCACCAGGGACCAAATAGAAGGTTGAGATGAAATTGGAAGAAGGATCCAAAAGGGTTATTTCATTATGCAGCTACAATGGCATGAGCAGAGGTGACATGGCAGATACTATAGCTAACATTGTGGAGATTAGGGGTTAACTCAGGGGTTGGAAACCTTTTGGCACATGGCTCATCAGGGTAATCTGCTGTTGAGCTACAAGACAGTTTGTTTAAACTGAGCATCTGCAGGCATGCCCTCTCTTCCCCTGTAGCTTCCAGTGGACAAGGTTTTCTGAAAGCTGAGGGGAGCAAGTCATGCCTGTGGTTACTCAATAGAAACAAACTGTCTTACAGCCCACTAGTGGATTGCCCTGATGGACCAGATGCCAAAGGTTGCCAACCCCTGAGTTAAATGTTTTGAAAACTAGAATTAGGCACCTATGTTTGATGAATATTTGATGAATAAATATGAAGATGCTAGCAGAGGGATTTAAAGAGGGACTGGATGGTGTCATAATGGCAAGCAAGGTATATTGTTTGTGTGGCAGTATTTTGGGACCATTAAAACAAGAGAAAAAAAACTACTGTTGTCAAGATGAAATAATTGGGCCCTGTCCAACAGTTTTTGTGGCAGGAATAGAAATGAGAGGGCAGACAGCATACTGTAGAGAAAGAACCAGCAAGATTTTGTAGCAGAGTTATTGTGAGGAAAGAAGACAGAGGGAGTTAAAATTACTTGTGTTAACCTATGGAACAAGATGAGTAATGGAATTGCCAAGAGTGATAGAAAAGAGAGGGAGGGAGACAATCTAGGAAGAAAGAAGTGCTTGATTTTACTATGTTAAGTATGAGCTGGTGATGGGAAATGTATGAAACATCTAGCTAAAGGTATCAGAATAGCACCCAGAGACAGATACTGAGAGGCAGGAACTAAGTCAGAGGTGAAGTAGTTCTGGGAATCATCATTTTACCTTGCCTATATTCTCTGTTGAGCCTTCTCGGATAGATCCCTGATTTCACAAGCCTAGACTATGCCAGCCTTACTAATGTGGAGTACTACTCAAGATAAGAAAAGATGGCAGAATCTGATTCATAATTAGGAGAGAAACAGCAAGTTGCTCAGCCATTTAACAGTCTCTGTGACAATGTTAAGACTTTGATGGAACTTTTTCATTGAAAGTGAAAATAAAGAAGATAATTTTAATAAATGCATGGTGCTGTAAACCAAGCAAAGTGTTTCCATGATTTTAAATAAATCAGTAGAAAGTTTTCTTTATACAATAGGTCTGGTTGAAATTTATCTATCAAAATTGACAGAAACATTGTTCAAGTAAACATGGAAAAGATCACCTTTCCTGTTTTGTTTTGTTTTTCTTTTTACAAAAATTCTAAATTTTTCATAGAACATGTCTACAAAGACAGAAATATTGTCAAAATTTTCCACAGAATTCTTTTCCTGACCTGTTTTAGCAGTTAGCAATTCACTTTAGTGTTTCAGAGAGGTAACTGTGTTAGTCTGTTTCAGCAAAACCAACAAGAAGTTCAAATACTGAAGATTTTAGAAGGTAAAAGTCAGACTATAAACTGCAGTGAAATTGGCTTTATTTTTTATTATCCAAACTATAAGAATTGCAATAATTAACCAGAGGATATAGTGACACAAACGTAGATTTGTAAATCCTTCCAATACCCTAAGAATTTATTAGTAGCTTAAGAAGGAAGATTGTTTGCTTAAGCTATGGTTTATAGATTGACATCATTGCTACTAATAACATCTTAAAGTATTAAGTATGGGAACATTTTGAACATCTAATTTACATATCACTATTTTATATACATCATCAAGCATTTTCTTTTTACAGAAATTTTATGTAAACATCTATCTCTGGTGTAATTGCTCTCTTTTCTAAATTAAGAAAAATAGTGATTACTTAGAAAGGAAAAAAGTTGTAAATGTCTTTCCTATTTTGTGTTAATTATAAAGGTGGCACCGAAGATCAAAGCGCTGATGATGGAGTCAGGTACCACAATGGTTGGATACCAGCCGCAGGGAGATAAAGCCAACTTCTTCCGAATGGTTGTCTCAAACCCGGCAGCAACTAAGTCTGACATTGACTTCCTCATTGAAGAAATAGAAAGATTGGGGCAGGATCTGTAATACTCTTGGCAAACTATTTCTCTAGTCCATTGTTTTCCAGCACTGGCTATTTTTTACCCAGTTCTGCAGAACACACTTTAAGGAAATTCCCTTTCTAAATGTTCCATGTTCCTAGGATGCTCTACAACAACAAAAATCTATAGGTTACTGCAGGGTGCTGGAATAATTTGTATTATGGGGTTGCTGAGAGTCATTGACCCATACTGTAAACCTTATATATGATGGAAAACATCCCTAGTTCCAGCACCTATGGTTACTGTAACATACATGAATTGGAAGGTCATTTCACTGAAGGAAAATATATTGTCTTGAAGTGTACTATTGATTCTTATTTAGTCTGTTTATTATAGTAATCAGAGAACTAATAACTATTAAAATAGAGAATTAAGAACTCTGCATAATATATATGTACAATATATATATATAAATGGTTATGAACGTAGAACTAAGCCACAGCATGTTTTCCACTGTAAGAGAACTAACTTTTCCTTCAACAGTTAAAAATGTGGACAATGTGTTGCAGATCAGTCTACCGGATGCAAATATCTGTAAAGAAACATTTTAAAAAATGTAGATTCTTAGGCGCTAAGGAAAATGTTTAATAGTATTAAACCTTATTGTTGGTGCTTCTCTCACATATAAAAAACAATGGTTCCTAAAAGCACCTCCCAGTAAGATAGCTGTATCTCCCGTTAGTGTCATATCAGGGGATAATAGTAGCAGAGTCATTGTAACAGGTATATTATTGCTGTATTTTTAGAGATTAATTTGTGTAGATTGTGTATATTGTTAAATGACTTTGTGAAAAGGAATTAAATGTAATAGTTTTACAGCCAGATAACTGTTCAATTCTAGGTATATAAAATATTTGCTTATTTATATGCAGAGATTTACCATGCTAAAGAGTCGTCTTGTATTTTCTTCCATTTGTAATGTATCCTATTTATATATTATTGAAGTTCTAAATAATGTTTATGGTATTTTAGTGTATTTGTGAGCCAAAGAGATGATAAAATATTAGTTGACACTTTCATTTATATAATAGTGACCTTAAAACAACAACTTACAGATAATTTTACTGATCACTAGGAATTCTAACATTGTATATAGATTCTAGTATAATTAAATCCCTTTACTTTAATAGACTCTTCACCTTTTATTAATTGTAATGTCTGCCTCTATGTCCAGTGTTCTGAATGCTTATCTAGTGAATATTGGATAATAACCAAGGCTCCTGTACATCTGTTGTAGTTCAGGACCAATCGCTGACTAGTTTAGCTAAATTCTGTGGCAAGATTCCTTAAAGTCTGTAGCAAATCCCTTAAAGTATTAACCAGGTTTATTAATTTTTTGTAGAAGGGGAATTCATTATGTACTTTGCAATCTACAAGACAGGAAAAGAAAAACTCACCACAGAATGTTTAAACACAGCTGGTTTGTCATCATAGTTTTAACTGATCAGATACTTAAGAATATAGACACCAGAGTAATCTGCTGCCCATTGAGTTTTTAATTCGCTAGGTAACCAGTTCTACAAAGTACTTGATTTTTTGTGCTGGCAGACCAGCAAAGTGTGGAATCAAATAAAGGCTTAATGACTACAGAATGACTATTGTAATAATAACTGAAATCTGCGGATTCAAAATCTTTTCAAAATATGCTGCTATGGCTATTGTACATGAAAGTCTGTAATAAGCTACTTTTCTTTCAAATCTGAAATAACATTTAGTTGCATTAGATATATTCTATTAAATGAATGTAAAAAGACACCCTTTGTTTTAAAACTACTGTAATACTCTGTCCAAAAAATCCCTCAGGCTTTGTGTTGCTTTTTCATTTATTTAGAGGGATGAGACCCTCACCACCTCTCCACCCCCTTTATGCCATGTGAACGGGCTGCAGTGGCATGAAGTGGCCCTAAAGCCTTGACTGTAGCCAGAAGAGGATTCCCCTAATGCAGGCAGTATAGAAGACACATAAGGTTGGCTTAGTAGGCGTGCTGGAGAAGGCAGGAGTGTGTCAGAGGCAGGATCAAATCCCAACTTTCCAGCCCCTCAAGCAGCCCAGGACTGGGAAGGTGCAAAGGTGACTTAAAGCCACCATAATCCCCTTGGGCTGCAAATTCTATGAGGGACCCATGATCTTTAGACTAAATAACAGTTGGCTATTCCAAACACCATGTTTAAACTGTCTCACATAGCTAGGATAGCTTGGGGCATAGTGACCTCCTACAGATGGAAAAACTGATAATTCCAATTCAGAAGTCAGACTGGGCCTACCACTGTTAAATTTCCAGGTCCCAACGTTCTCATTCTGATGTAAGAGCACTCCATGCTTCTTTTGTCACCAGAACTTTTCCAAAATTTACAATGATGTGTGGATAGCTAGTCATTCTCAAGCACTGGTTTCTCTTTTCCTAGAGATCCGGTATACCTCTCTCCTCCCTTGCCCTGTGTGAAAGCTTTTTATTGAAATCCATTTTCTAATAACCTCATTGGAGTCAAGTTCAGGGCTTGTTCCACTTCTGTTATTCTCTTTTTGCCTCCTAACTATAACATAGAGAAGATGATATCCTTCTGGCACAGTTGTCATTCCAATAGTGCCATCTCCTTAAGGCAATGTTTTTACTTCACACAATTGGTGCAGATAGTTGCAGTGGACCGTGTTTTTATAGTCTTGCATCTTGACCTTTCAGAATAGTCTTGATATGTCATCATCTCTTCTTTGATACTAGCAGCATTGATGTAAAAGTAAATGATAGAAGATCTGAATTCTACTACCATGAGTATTCTTAATATCAGTATTCATTCTGACTTCAATTTTTTTTAAAATCCAAATGCCATTCTCTGTAGATGCAAGCCATTTCTCATTCCATGTCCGTTCTCCTACTCACATGGCTGATCTCATGTGTCTTGAGAGGATCTTTTTTTTTTTTTTTTTTTTTGTCTATACTTAGGGAATTATATCAAAAAAAGTCAAATTGAAATAACTCCTGAAATAACAAAATGAAAATAGCATGACCTGACTACAGGGAATCCTCGAAATTTAATCCAGGGCAGGCTCCATTGTTGTGGATGCACTACCTCGACTTAGAGCACAAGGAAGAACTGGGGAATAATTAGTTGGAATGACTCTGGGGAGTAGTTATTTTGAAATAGAAGCACGGGAGGGTCCACACTAATGCTATTTAAAAAAAACTATTTCAGAATAAGCGTTATTCCCCGAGGAAAGCAGGAGTACAACTTTTGAAATAACCAGCCTGTTATTTTGAAATAATGGGCTTGGTGGTGCGGACACTCTGCTTATTATTTTGAAATAAGGGGGGTTATTTTGAAATAACTCCCTAGTGTAGACCAAGAGTAAGAAAGGAAAAACTTGGATTAATGTTTGAGGCATCTTATGGATGAGATTTTTCCTCTCTGAAGAGCTCACTTTATTCAAAGATCTGCTACAAAAAATTGCAGCAGCTCTCTACTCTTCTCAGTGTATGTAAAACACTATGACCTATGATAGTCATTCACCAATGTCATAGCTGTGAAAGAGGAGTCTACTGCTTCCACACACAGCAGCAGTCTCTTGAGCTTTCTTTGATTAGTTTTCAGCTTAGAGTTTCTGATCCGCTTCGTTCCATCACTCAGGGAGGTGCAGTGACAGTACCACTGAAGAGATGAGATTCAGGCTTCATATTTTTCTCTGTAACCTTAAAATAACTTTCCCAAGGCTGAGTGTCCCGATTCTCCCCATTTTATAACTATTTTTCATTACTACTTGAAGTACTCTATACACTTTAGAAACATATGAGGAAGGTAACTAGTTGTATCCCCATTTTGCAGAATGGAAGACTTGTCCAAGGTCACATAGCAAGTCCTGGCCAGTCCTGTGAGGTGGCTGGGAACTGGATTTTGATATCCTGAGTAGTGTGTGAACTGTGATTCGACTGCTACAAAATGCTTCTCTTCCTTTTGGCACTGTGTCTTGCTTTTATCAGATCAGCCACACCTGGTCCTCTAGTTACTGCCAATGATAGTTTGCATCTTTAAGTGACATTTAATAATCTAAATCCTGCTGTTTATCTTGCAGCCAAAATAATTAAGTTTATATCTTATGTATTAGGCTACTGTCTTTCTGTTATCTTAGTTTTGTGGCAAATGATATCCACAACCAGTTTCTAGTGAATCCTTGTTCTTGATCTCCGCTATTAGGGTATTTATCAGTAATGACTGCCCATCACCACCAGCACAGAATCCTTGTTTACTCCAAATAAGCTGAATTAATAGAGCCTTATTTAGGGGATGGCCATGGTCACCAATTATAAAAAAAAATCTATTTTCCTTCCAGTAGGCCGCATTCATCTGTTGTTCTATGACCTTTCTGGAACATATCTTTTCTTAAATCCACACAACATTGTGGCTATGTCTACACTGCACTGTTCTTCCAGAAAAAGCTACGCAACTGCGAACCACAGTTTGTGTAGCTTCTTCTGCTTCTTTTTTTGGGAGAGGCTTTTCTGACATCTACACTGGGCCAAATGTCAGGAAAAAAACCCTTTTTCAGAACATCCCATCTTCCTCATATAACAAGGTTTATAGGGATGCTGAAAAAGCTCATCTGCTCTTCCAACAAAAAATTCGGAATAGCAGACACGTTCCATGGACATGGCAGAGTTTTTCTGTGTATCCCAGAAAAACTCTGCAGTGTAGACATACCCTGTGTGTGGAAGATCAGAAAGTGTGAAACCATGGATGAAGGGATTCATTCTAGGACACGAGTAATTCAGTTTTCCTGATGTAACAAGTTGGTAATTTATTTTGAGGTTACCATTTCTTCTTTTAAGTCTTCCTGACAAGCACTGTAGTGTTAAGATGGGTGAATTCAAAGTACCTTGACATGCTAAATAGAGGGAAGAGACCAAACTGGAAGTTGTAGCTTCAATGCTTATTAGCTGATATACTAGATTTTGAAAAGGTTAACCATTGGTCAAAGCATTTATTAATTTTAAATAGGAAAAGTTCCAGTTTCAGTTGTTAGAACTGCTTTTTGAAGAACACAGTGAGGTTCTACTTTTTGTGGCAGACAGACTGAACCAGGGCTTTTGAGATTAGCCCAGAATTTTAAAACCGTTTATTCAGGGCACAACATGCTTGTTGAATGGTGACAAATAAGAGATTTTTTTAAAACAGAATCTCTGTGTTTTGTGGCTAAAAGAACTGTGAAATTATAAACATGATATGCAATGCAATTTTAATTTTTCAATAAAAATGTATCTGAATTTTTTTCATTTGTCTCATTATTTGTGAGTCCTCTGCTTTTCCCTCAAGAACATAAGACCTATATCATATGGCAAATCGTAAATACAGCAAGCCAAATCCTAAAGACATAACAGAGCTTTTAATTGGAATATAGTAGGAGCTGGCATGTGTACAAAATGAGTACGAACTTCGATTCTGGACAGATATGAAAAGAATGATGAAGTTTTACTACTTTGCAGGGATTGTGGAGCATCTGGTAAAAAGCATAAAGCAGAAACCTCTCTTCATCTGGTACTACTGAAATTTCAGTCCAGCTTATTCAAGCAAATCTCATGTGAAAGTAATGAATTTTTCATACTGAGTAGTTCCACTGACTTCAATGGGACTGTTCACACTGTAAAGTTAAGTTTAGCAGGATAAGGGATCCAGGTTTTTTTTAATGAAATCAGAACTGATATATATTGCAAGGGGAATTGTGTGTAAAAGAAATACAGGATCAGGTTTTGCAAGTGTGGTCAAGGTGTTCTATTTTTACTTTCATCC